AAGTAATGGTGGTGGTGACGCCAGGTGGAGTGAGGCTGCGGGCCAGGAGAACATGATCTGTCAACCATCTCACATGACTCCATGCAAGGCGACATATCACGTGGGCGGCCAGCACCTTCCGCAACACATCCTCGGCCGACACATGTCTCAGCCTAGTGTGCTTGTCGAATTTTAACTTTATTAGAAGCAAAAGAAACTGGAGACATGCCATTTCCCACGCATCAAAGCGTCCCCAGTTCACACTACGCATCCCTCAAACACTAATAACAATAATAATAATAATAATATTAATAATACATAGAGAAATCCCATTAACGTGATGTATCAATGAGAAAATTAGTGGGAGCTGTCATTAAGATTCGAACATATGCTCTGGATTCTGCCAAAGCACTTAAAACAACTAGGCCAAACCATGGTAAAAGGATTGCAAATTCTTTTTGATTTTCTAAGTACTTCCTAAGGCGTGTGTTTGGAAGTACCCAGAGCCTAGGTTCGAAGCCTCATCACGGCTTCCACTGATTTTCTCAATAAAAATAATAATGTACGTACATTAGACGAAGGGACAATTGTAAGTACCGGGATTACACATAAGGCCACTACTACGTAAAACATTTTGGGCAAAACTTAGAATAATTTAGGTAAAAGATTATTTATAAAGATAATGGGGGTAAATACGTAATACTAAAGAAAAGTAAGCGAACATATATGAGAAAGTTCAAGAAATATAACAAATGAAATACAATATAATGGCAATACATGATGATAACAGACATAGACTATTACATTATTGAATCTGTCGTTCTAACAACAGCACACAAGTGGTTTTTAACATTAATAACAAGGAAATACACATGTGTATTTAGTCAAGCTACTAGAAACAGACTAAATCTGTATAACCACTCCATGCAAATAAAAGGGCCCAGTCTTTGGAACTTCCTGACGAATTAAAAAAAATCCAACCAATGCCCTCTTCAAAAGTAAAACCAAAAAGTACCTAAATTCATCCTCATAGTTTCCTACTTCGTGCTTAAAATTCACATTGTATCTTGTACTACCCACTTCCCCAATATTAGTACTTAAGACATATATCTTTACCAGTGTAATCACCTCTGTCAATTTACATTGTAATTGTGTTAATATAAAACCTTGCTGCAATGTACCTTTTCAGCTTACCTGATATGTTAGATTAAGTACCTGCCTGAAACGCTATGCGTGTTAATGGCTTTACAAGAATGTACAAATACCAATCTTGTGCAATATCACCATCTTATTGTACCTTCTTGTGAATAAATTATTATTATTATTACTAATATAGAACATAACATGACATCGAGTAAATTAGTATAATTGAAAGGTTTAATGTAGTAAACACTTACAAATTAAGATAACATAATAACTTGAGTAAGCCATTTTACAATTTGGAAGATCATTCCACAATTTAGGACCCACATGATTTGTATAGCATATCTGCTTTGGCTGATTCTCACTCTAGGAATATCGCAATATATTTGTTTCTCGTGTGGTCAGACCATGAGTTCTACAGCCCTCTTGGAAGCTCTTAAGGTCAGGATTGGAACTGCTGTGCGAAATTTTAAAAGATACAAAGTACGCTTGAGAGTACTATATGCAATGACTTGATACTTAACATGTTCAAAGATTTCAGTAAAGCAGCAGAGTGCTGTCTGGGACTGGAGTTTTTTGTTGTTCTAGTTGCTGATTTATGTTTAGTAATTAGCGGTAATTATTAAGGGTGGTAGATTTCCAGGCACACATACCATAGGTGAGATATGGGAAAATGAGCGATTAATACAGTTACTAAGGCAGGGTGAATTACGTGTTTTTTTTTATTTTGGAGAGAATATCTACTATTTTAGAAACTGTTTTTACTTATGTTTTGTATATGGCAAAGGAAATTCAGTTCGTTGTCTATGTGAACACCAAGGAACTTCCTATTCACTTTGTTCATAATAAGTACAGTATAATAATATCAAAAACTCATTGAAACCAGTATATTTGTGGAAATTATATAAACCATTTCAAACTAGTGTACAATGAAATTGAAATTGAAATAAGTTTATTGAGGTAAAATACACACAAAGGGATGAGGTAGCTCAAGCTATTCTCACCCTGTTCAGTACATCGTGTTAATACATACATATACACACATCACAAACAATAAACATATTACCAAACATTCTGAGAGATAAACATCTACATTTCCTAGTGTACAATGGGTTATTAGCCTAACTCAGCCGTGTACGTAAATAAATGTTGGGCGGGAAGAAAAGCTTGGTGGCACATCCTACAAGAGCAGCAAGAACTATAGTATCCGAGTGTAGACCATCATGAAATTAATCCCTGGTCAGTAGCCGCCAGTGTTACCAGTTTCCTTCTTTTATCTATATGATCAATGCAGAACAAGATTGTTCCCGTATTCTCAACTTGGGAACACCTCACTTCATCTCACTCTACAAGGTATATATATATAATTTCAAACGTGCTAATTTTTTTACGGACTCGCCATGACCCGTGTTACATGGACATTTCATTCTGAGTAGCTAAATCTAAAACAACAACAACGTGCTCACACACAGAGATCACACTAACGTGATGCATCAAATGAACAAATCCACAAGGGCCGTGACGAGGATTCGAACCTGCGTCCGGGAGCAGGTTTCAACCCTTTTACCCTGTCGTAGCTCAGTCGATTAAGGCAGTGTCTGGGGTGCTCCCGGACGCAGGTTCGAATCCTCATCACGGCCCTTGTGGATTTGTTCAACAACGTGCTAATTTGTTTACGGGCTAGTTATGCCCGTGCCACCTCTTGGGTGGCTTAATCTTTATCAATCATCTGATGATGATTGATAAAGTCTGCAAAATTAAACGAATCAAAGTATCATACTTAATTTGTGTCAGGGGGAAGGCCAGGCAAGCTATCGTGGACAGCCACAACAAGGATCTACAGAGAGAGAGAGAGAGAGAGAGTGTGATAGGAAGGAGGGATGTGTTCATCACAATACACGTCGGTAACCTCCGAGGCGCCTACACCAGGAAGGGTGTAGACTTGACAATGGTCCAGGACGGACTGAAATGTCGTCGTCCCTTCATTTTCTAGTGTGTGGATTGGTCAATATACGTTAAGTGACGGTGGTGGTCACCACTCCGCGCTCCTCCCAATGAACAGGTAAATAGATAAATAGACAGATAGATGGACACATGGGAGACAAAGAGACCCGGGCAACGCCAGGTACCTCCCTAGTATTTACTATGAGAGAATGTCTGTCTAAAGTTTGAGGCCAAATGCTTTTGGCTAACCTCACTCAAATTTGCAGGGGGATGGTTCTAGTGTAAGGGACAGACATAGGCTGGTCGGGGACGGACATAATTATAAACACCCCCTAGGCCTTTTTCATTGAGCTTTTCAAGTATTCAAGTGTGAAATATGGCGTGTGATTCACGTGGAGTGTTTTGTCATAATATTTCTTAGACCCATACAGTTGTTTCAGTGGTTCTTAATACTGTAATTTATTTTCTTGAGGGAAAGGGGGGGATAGATAGATGAATATATAGATGGGTGAAGATACAGATAGCTAGATAGATAGATGGGAGACAGAACCTACGATCTGTAACCCTTCTTGTAGACAGGGCGAGTAGCAGCACAATATATTGTGTACCTATACTCTCCCAATGGTGAGCATTCCAATTGTAAACTATGTGAACCTAGGACATACTCTCCAACACTATATGTGTGATTGCCCTGTTATCAGTGACTTCAGACCAAATGGTATGAGGTACTTTGAGCTCTGTAATTACTTTATACACTCAGGAATATTTGAAGATATTCTTGTGCTGTACCCAGATTTTGCTAGTGGGGCTTATGGATCAACCTTATATCTCATGTTCTCTCCTGACTTGTAATCAGAGTTGGTTGTTTTTGTATTTGAAGCTAGTATTTTCTCCCCTGAGTCCACGTATGACTACCCATCCTGTGAAATGGGAATATTAGATGACTTATAACTAGATTTTTTCTACACTGTGTAATCTTTCATATAGAATAGGGTAGCAGCACATTGCTGTGTCTGGCGTTATTTTGTTTCTTATTTTGTAAATCACTCAAGTATCAATATAATACCCAGGGAATATTTTTTAATTATAATTACTGTACATTATATTTTCTTGTCAAAGAACTAGTTGACACTATTAAACCACCGCCCACGGGATGGGTATGGGGTGCATAATAAAGAAAGAAAGTGAATTGACTATTAAACGTTTTGGAGTTTTTGCAAACACTATATATATGACAGTAAAGGAAACTGTCATAGGATTATTCGTATGGCTGTCTGTGCAAACTGCAACGTTAATGATGATTTCGTTGAACGTGATGATGCAACATTGAACGATGATTTCGTGATTGATAGACGCGATTATGAGATATATAACTGGCTTGCGTCAGCTAGGTACTTCAACTACACTTAAACTATAGAATGTCATTTAAATGTTATTGCTGGTATTTCCTTTCATTTATTTTCTTTACATACAAGCAATTAATGTATATTCATTAACGCCAGATAATGCAATTAAATAAATCTACTAATAATTCATGGTAACTTTATTAATTCCCGTTCAGCAAATGGATTATGCCTGAAAAATTGTACTGTAATATCTTCCTGTACACATTTGTAAACTTTTATTGATTTAGATATATTTGTGTTTGTATACATGTATTTATGTATGTTGTGTTGATTTAGGGGCATGTATTTATGTATGTTGATGTTCTCAAAAAATAAACAATAATGTATATTCCTCAGTTGTATCAGACTCCACACGGAAATATTCACAGGTTTATAATATATTTATATATCATATTTGAATTCGTTATTAATTTTCTGCCTTTTAAATGTGCATTATTTAGGAGGTTTTAATTATTCACAAAAGAAAATGTTTATATATGGTGATGGAGAGTAGAGGGAAACATGTGGGTGTGTGAGGAAGTATTAGGCAGGTAGTGCAGGCGGCGGCCGGCTGATGACACCACCACAACACTCCTTTACGGACCTCTACTTCAGCGTGTACCTCCCTTCTCCTCCTGTACCTCCATCTACTGAGGTACTGCACGCTACATTTCGAGGTACCGCACGCTATCAACCCACCCACTCCCTGAGGTACCTCACTCTACCTGTACCCTCTGAGGTACCAGACGCTACCCTCGTTAGCGTAGGTCGAAGACTTTGCTATTTTTTGTTTTTAATTTTGGGTTGACACGAGGGAGAAGAGTGGTGGTGGAGAGCTTGGGGTCAACAGCTGGTGTGGTGTGGTACAGGTGTGGTGCAGGTGTCGTGGTACGTGTCAGTGACAATGGGGGCAAGGTTGTGGTACATGTGTGGGAGGTCATCTGTGAACAGGTGGCACGAAAGTCTGTGTATGTGGTCTTTCGTGTTCAACACGAATCTGTTGAGTCGCTCTGGGACAGTTATGTGGATTAACTGTTCCCCTTTTTTTTTGGGGGGGGGAGGAGAGTTAAATGGGATTTTGTGATAATTGTGTGGCATTTTTATGACAGCTGTGTGGGATTTTTTTGTGATGTATGGGATTTTTAAGGGGATAGTAGTATGGGGTTTTGGGAGGATAGTTTTATTGCCTTTTTAGGGGTATATGTAACCCTTACATATATGGGAGAGTGTATGGGTCTCTGTTTGGAGTAGTTGTATGGTTTGGTTTTGGGGGGATAGTTTTATGCAATTTTTGTGAAGGATAGTTGTGGGATTTATGTATAACTATTTTACGGTTAATCTCAATTTATTATTGGTATGATCAGCTTTGATACTTTTATGAAAATGTGATATACAAAATCACAATTATTGTATATATATATATATTATACTGTATACAGTATTCCAAATGTTAATCATATTCATAAATAAAACTAGTGGATTTGTGGTGAAAATTTAATGACGGATAATTTAGTACATCAAGATTTATGTAGTACAGTATGGAAAAAGTTAATAGGTTTCTCTGCAATTAAGATTTTAAAATCTGTATCCATAAATATAAGCCAGGAAGTTTGTATTGGTACATGACTGCTTGCAGTGATGACCTAGAATTCTACCACCACACCTGGTTCTTTAATTTGGCTGATAAATACTGTCCTGTTCAAGACAAATTGAGTTTTTCTTCTAATGGCTCGTCTCTTTTTACAGCACAATGACCGAGCGCTTAGAATCGGTGCCAGAAGTGGACAAAATCTCCTTTTCTGGTGAGGAGGAAAAGATTATAGAGTTGTGGAAGAAAATTGACGCTTTTCATTCATGTCTCAAACAGAGCAAGGATCGACCAAGGTAAATATTTGGTTACACTTTGGGTAATGTAGAAGGATTTTCTACTACTGTATGTAAAGCTGGCAATAAATGAAATTAGCCAATAGTGTTTACTGAAGTATCATACATGGTTGAAAAGGATAGCACTTGAACTAAAGTTGTCACTTAGTTTCATTTAGGACAAGTGACTTGATATAGGGATCTTGATAAATATTAAGAAAATATAATTTAAAATAAAAATTTTGTGCATGCAACTGGTTTGCAAAAAGTTTGTTCCAAATTGCTTTTATCTAATAAAACATTATAGTGTACTATACCTGTTGCTATATGATAAAAACTCTTGTATTGCTGTGTATCTGAAACCTTTTCCAGCTGCACGGCATGAGTTGAGGTAGTTTTATAAGTCCTCTGAACCCCTCAGTCTACGAATAATTGCCCATTAACCACATTTGCACTTGACTGAGATAGGAAAGCATTTGAGTACAGTATTATAGGAAATGAGGCATAAAGTTATTAACCCTTAGTGGATGCTTTACAAGAGCTCTGTTATACATAGATGTATAGATCTACATAGATGTATAGATCCCGGCCTCTCTGACCTGGCTCAACAATGTGCAAAATAAATGTATACCTTTTCCCCCTTAAATTTTGTTGTGGCAAAGTTTTTTTTTTTTTTTTTTTTTTTTTTTTTTTTTTTTTTACACCTATAGATCTACTATATGAATTTTGTCAGTGTTTGAAAATTAGTGGTGTATACGTTGGAAACAAAAATATTGGTACTGTATGTGCATTATAGTTTATGCATGGCTTTTGCTGAATATATTCGTTTATCAATTTTTCAACATTCCTCCTTATTTGTATAAAATTTTCCTTTAATGAGAACGAGTGCACAGGATCAAAATGCCTGTATAAAGGCATTTGTTTCTTGGTGAGGATAATTTTAATTACAAATTTGCTATGATTTAGTGTGTGTGGAGGGTATTTGGAGAAGCTATATTTAACAATTAATAAAAGTTGGTAGTTTAACCCTTAATATAAGCTATACAGTGGTACCTCGGTTTAAGAGTTTAATCCGTTCCTGGAGACGGCTCGTATTCCGAAAACTCATAATCCGAAGCCAATTTCCTCATAAGAAATAATGGGAAATGAATTAATCCGTTCCTGACTACCCAAAAACCTCACTTCAAACTAAATTTTATACCTAATTCATCTAAATAAACCTACAAAACTATGTTCAAGTTATTACTTACCCTTGCTGATGACTGCTGTTGGCGTATGGAAAATGGTGGGAAGGAGGAGGAGGGAGGAGGAGAGGTGTTACTGTTTGGAAGGGGAGTCCCCTTCCATTATAACATCAGGCAGTGAGGACTTCACTGGTGTGCACTCTGGCACGTTTTGCCTGCATACCACTAGGACTTGCTTGTCTTGCTAAGAATCTGTCTAAAGACACTTGTTTTTCCCTACATTTTAACACTTGTCTGTAGTAAGACATCACATTGTCATTTAAAAGGTCAATGCAACGGCCTGCTACAGCTTTATCTGGGCGAGTTTTTTCAACAAAACTTTGCAGTTCTTCCCATACTTCACACATTTTCTTAATCAAGAAGGGACATCCTCTACTGCCTCTACTCACAGCTATTTTCTTAGGTTGAACCTTACCAATGGCTTTCTTGAGACCCATGGCAAGATATAAAATAACAACTTTTATGCTCAAATGGCCAAAAAACTGTAAATCCTTGTGAAGAATTCAGGTGGGATAGTCACTGGGCGCGAGACACTGGTAAACTGAGGTGCGATCGCCATGCCACCACACCTGTATGTATGTGTATCAACACCCTCGTGTTCCGAGGCAAATTTTTCAAGCAAATCCTGCTCGTATACAGGGACACTCGTATTCCGAGGTACCACTGTATATTATTTATACATATAAACATAAAATGTTTATCATTCCTCTATCTGTATCATTCCTAATATTTTTCTGTACTAGGGTTTTATTGCTCTAGCTATTTTTCTCTTACCTTCTCTTGGCCTCATTTGTATAAGTAACTTTTTTCTACATGGCTTGACGATTTATTCTCATCTTGCTGAGCTCAGACCTTTCTCTAATACTGTATTTTCTTGGTCTCGTTTGTCTTGGGTCATATACCTACTCATATTTGCATGGTGGGACATGTATAATATAGTGCATATTAAGGGTGTGATGCTACTCTTCTTGAGAGGGCATACAATTAAATATACCCTACTCCTTACTTATTAGTTTAAGAGTAAGCTGCCTTGTACCCACCAGGTTAAAAAAACAAAACAAAGCCTGTCCAAGAAGATGAAATATAAAGCCCCTTAAGAGAGGGGGGAGGGGTCAAAGGAGCCACCAAAGACTTGGAGGCATTTCATTACATTCAATGCTGGTTTTCTGAGAGGGCTCTCTATGGTGGCAATGACTGTGGAGGGCTGTCAAAAAAGTGAAATTGCACCAGGGGCAGAAGAGTTACAGAAGTAACGCTACAGGCAGAAGAGAGCCATCGGAAGTAACACCAGGCATGGAGGAGAGTCGCAGGAAGTAACAGGAGGCGGCAGGAGAGGCACCGGAAGTAAGCCCCATGAAAAGTGGAATTAGTGACGAGTTAACTGTTCCAAAGCCTCTCGAACCCCAGCGCAGACCAAGGATGTTCACCAAGGAATGAGACTGGAAAGTTTACTAGGATATACAGGGGAACCGAGTTTACCATCACTCCAATTAACATAATTTTGATTTTATGTTAGAAAAATTAAATACAGTAAACAAATTTATCAGTAAAACGTTCTTATATTTTTTTTTTTTGTAAGTTCCCAATGTAGAATAGAGAAAAAGATGTAGAAGCCTAAGGTACTAATAGAAATTAAATACTGTATGGTATGTGAGAACTAACTTAAGTATTTTCAATAAATACTAATTATAATGTACTGAAAATAATAGCACAAGTGCAGTATTGTACAAAAATTATATAATACTGGACTGTACAGCCAAATAAAAGGCTATGGAAGACAATATCATTAGAAAGCTGAAAAGTGCTAGGAGGATATGGCAAGGATGAGCAAGCAAAAAATTACCAATCATCTTTCCCATAGGAATATAACCTTGCTTTTATAACACTTGGCCTATGAGGTTTTGGTTTCACTTGACGTCATTTCAGTTAATCGCAGTTTTTGGGAACCTAACCCAAACCTTCAATAAGGTTAGATAGTACAGAAACCTGTACTCTTTTCATAAAACTGCAAAGGGCTTGTCAGACCCCGAAGGTTAAACCCAGCAAGAAACACAGCACAGGGGGCCACTTTCAAAGTACAAGCGCCAAAAACAGCCTATAGGCATAGGCAGCTGATAAGGGTGTGAGTAACATGCCATATTACAAGCATTAAACAAAAAATTTCCCAGATTGTCCTCATCATAAAGCCTTGCAGAAGTCAAACTTGGGCACTGCTAAGGGCAAGGCACCTTCCACTGGAAGATGATGTCTTAGAGAGACACCCAAACCCACCAGAGAAGGCAACCCTGACTGGGCAAGGGCAACACTAGCAAACACCCAGAAATGATGACTAGGCATATGCAGTTTGAGGTGAACAGTTAATCAGCCACACAAAAGCAGCGAGGCATAAAAATCATGCATTGTGAAGCAGAACTAAATTATAGAACAAATTCACAAGTAAATGGCCCCCACAGGATAGAACAGTCTCCAGGACAACCAACACTCGTCTGAATAACGAGGCTTCGAAGAGATGGCAGGAATGAGGAGTGTAGCCACGATGGCAAACCCGCATGTTTAATTATTGCGCATGTCTATATTTGCCTTCCACTTTACTGTATCCCTTCTTCCCTTTTTCCCTTTTACCTTCTTCCCTTTTTCTCACGTTTTCAAAGTCAATGGTTCTACATTATAAGACTATAGACTTTGCAGATTTGTTATTATTTTATTTCTTCATTTTAGAAATGATTTTCAATTACTTTCATTATTGTTTAAAAAACATTGTACTTTTTTATTTTAATAGATTCACATTTTATGATGGACCACCATTTGCCACTGGTCTTCCTCACTATGGTCACATCTTAGCCGGAACCATAAAAGATGTGGTAACTCGATGGGCTCACCAGACTGGCTTTCATGTAGAACGTCGCTTTGGCTGGGACACCCATGGTCTGCCAGTGGTATGTATTAGTCTCAAAAATCAGTACTTTTCAGCATTTTTTGCCATTGTAATTATAGCCACTGGAAATTACTTGATATATTCATTGATAAAAATTAGTAAAAAAATTCAAACCTAATTAATTAACTACTTCTTTCATAGGAATATGAAATTGACAAAACTCATGGAATAAATGGTCCGGAAGATGTTGAGAAGATGGGGATTAAAAAGTATAACGAGCTGTGTCGTGGCATTGTCATGAGATACGCCAGTGACTGGGAAAACATAATCTCTCGTTTAGGACGGTGGATTGGTAAGTAAGAACCATATTTAGGTAAATTCATGTTACGTTAATTATAATTGTCATAATTTTAAGGTGCTATTGAAATATTTTTGACACTGAATTAGTTTGAGTTCTCCAAGTGTTAGCAATGGCAAGAGGTTATTGTTATTAGGGTGGCAGTCAAAGGGTCTGTGTCTAGATTCTCCACTAGTTGGTTTCTAATTAGGTTTAGGATAATTGCCATTTTGTAACTAGATCCTCACTAAATGTTGTGAAACCTAGTTGTTTCAGAGGTGTAGATCCTGCCAAATGTGGATGATACTCTTTTCTTAAGTGAGGTAATTTTTAACTCCTTCCAGAAAATCTTGTAAAAAGTTAATGATCTTTGTGTGGAGCAATGTATGAACAGGTGGGTGTCAAGCACAGTAAGGATACCACTTTGTCAGATCCTGTAGTCAAGCTGGTTCTGTCATGTGGTGATGGTTGGAGTAGTGAGTAGTTGATAGGTAGTTTAAAAATTATGCTTGGCTATCTTGGAGGCTTTAAAGAACATTTGGAGGAAGTGTTGTGTGGATTTGAAACGTTCTTTGGTGTAATAGAAATTTGTCTTTGTGGTGGATTGAGGTTCAGTATGCTCGGTGATTTTCTTCCCTAGAACAAGACTTCTGCACTGTATTTGCAAGGTTTTACAGCTTATCTCGATGAAGCTCAAAATCACTCGGGACCTGGCATGCAAGCTTTGACCTGGATGGATGCAGTGTTAAGTCTCACAGGAACGAAGTACCTTGTAGCATTATTATACGTACTTTACTAAGGTATGGCACTTTAAAGGAAATACTTTTTCTAAAGAAAGCAGAGCACACTCGTCTAAGTTAGTGATGAACCTGAGGAAGAACTCGTAAATTTTCAACAGGACCCATAACTTGTCAGTACTCGCATACTGTTTATTTATTAATACCCATCGTTATTTTATATGCAGTATATTCAGTCAAAAATCTAACGTTTTTAGTCTATTAGGAATGGAACCTGAATATAAAAGTGTAATATGAAATAATGAGTGAGGTAGAGATATGAAACCTGGGGATGTGAAGATTAAAAGTGTGTTTCTCTGCAGGCGATGAGTCACAATAACGTGGCTAAAGTATGTTGACCAGACCACATACTAGAAGGTAAAGGGACGACGACGTTTCGGTCCGTCCTTGACCATTCTCAAGTTGATTGTGAGAATAGTCTCAGGACGGACCGAAACGTCGTCGTCCCTTCACCTTCTAGTGTGTGGTCTGGTCAACAGTATCTTTCTCTGTTTGAATTTATTGAGGGTGTCCTTGTAGGGTTTTAAGAACATGCATAATTATAAGTCAATGATGAAATAAATATATTTGTAAAATTATCCAAGTTTTGATTTATGCAAGTATGTGAAAAGAATTCTATCTATACTTTTCACAAATAACTTGTTTTCCAAGAGCAATATGGAATACTAGTGATGTGCTTGTGTACTTTTGCAAGAAATAACTACTAAATTACTTTTGATGTCAGAAAGGAAATATTAACTAATAATTTCTCTTTTTCATGTTCTCCAGATTTCAAGAATGACTACAAGACACTGTATCCTACATTTATGGAAACTATTTGGTGGGTGTTCTCTGAGCTGTATCAAAAGGGTCTGGTGTACCGGGGCTTCAAGGTGATGCCTTTCTCCACGGCGTGTTCTACTCCCTTGTCAAACTTTGAGGCCGGACAGAATTACAAGGACATTCAGGACCCATCAGGTATTTTGGTATAGATTTTGTCCATGCTTATTTTTCCCTAGTAATACTGTTGCATTCATACACTATCCAACAGTGTCAGAAGCAAGAACTGTCAATTACTCAAGTTGTCCAGGAATACAAAAATGTTTGTACGTAACAGCATTTTGTGGTCTTCACAAAGTGGTGAACCTTGAGTTGAATGTTAATGGTGAACAGTTAAAGTGCTTGTTGGCTGGAACCCCGAGGGAGAATTTTTGAAAGTTGTGGAAATGAAGAAGAGTCAAAGTATCTTCTATGCCTTCCTCGAAATTGAACTTTTGACATCTTTCCAAGCTCTAGTCATAACCCATATGACTGATTTGATAAAAAGTTTGATTAAATTCTTTAATACTGCTGCCATCTTCCTATAGTGCAACTTGGAGTAGTTTTTGTAATGTTTTCCGGTTTATAATTACATCTTGATAATGGGTTAGGTGCCAGCAGTAATGGCATTTGTTTACTAATTGAGGCAATGGTAGGTTTATCAAAAATACTACTGCTATTTTCTGGAAGGCCAATCTATTTTAAAGTTTGTTTACAACTGGAGAACACAAGTTACAAAATTACTACTTGGAATATATTTATACTCCTCAATAAAGCTGGTTGGGCCCAGTAAATTGTATATAGTCTTGGATGCTTTGAATGTCCATGGATCTGTTCATTCCTTAGGAACTTGTATTCATGGGTTTCTGCAGCATTAGAACTGCACAGACAAACCTTTCCTTATTTTGCTTGTAGCCAACAGTAGTATCAGTGACTTCACTGGACCACTGCATGACTCGATAAAAGTTGCCAGTTTATCTTAGTTTCCTCTGCATTGTAAATGTGTTTAGGAGAGAATTTTTTTCTGTTCACGATCTCCAGATATTTGGTGCAATACTGCAGTGAAGCAGCAGTATCGGCAGACTGCCTGAACCCCCAATACATCTGATACCATGCCAGTTTGTAAAGCCATGGTTTTAAATTTTTGTTGGATTAATCTTGCTGTCTACACCATTCCTCTATTATATTAAATCTTTAGTTTAGCCTGGTTCAATATTTTCCTCTTGGCCATGACCTTAGAATTCTTTTATTAAACTTGGATCTCTCTTTCTTTAATATATCATTAAAAGTCGGCCTTGGTATTGTTTACTAGCTCTCAAGCAGCCACTTCAAATTAATGAATTATAAATTTCACATTTCATAGCAATTAGGAGCACATGTGACCTCTTGGGAATGTGTCTAGCTCCACCAACACATTTCTGGTGTTTTGAGCAGATATTAATAGCTGCTTGATACCCCGCTTAATGGGGGTTCTGGGAGTTCTACTTTCCAAGCCTGGTCCGAGTCCAGGCTTGACTTGTGAGAGTTTGGTCCACCAGGCTGTTGCTTGAAGCGGCTCGCAGGCCCACATATCCACCACAGCCCGGTTGGTCCAGCACTCCTTGAAGAAAACTATCTAGTTTTCTCTTAAAGCTGTCCAGGGTTGTTCCCGCAATATTTCTTAGGCTCGCTGGGAGGATGTTGAACAACCATGGACCTCTGATGTTTATACAGTGTTCTCTGATTGTACCTATGGCACCCCTGTTGATATTGTTGATGGATGTTAAGACAATAGTGCAATAAATCAGAGATAATCCTTTATCCTTCAAGATTGTACCACCTCACTCCTGCATGCTTCTTGGTGAATTATCTTGGAACTATAGGCCTCCTTCCCCGTGACTTGCCGCACAATTGACAAGACCTGAGTGTGATGGATGTTCATCCAGCATGTTACATAGAGTATAGTTTGGATATTATATGAATGATTAGTGGTTATCTTGAGATGATTTTGGGGCTTTTAGTGTCCTGCGGCCCGGTCCTCGACCAGGCCTCCACCCCCAGGAAGCAGCCCATGACAGCTGACTAACACCCAGGTACCTATTTTACTGCTAGGTAACAGGGGCATAGGGTGAAAGAAACTCTGCCCATTGTTTCTCGCCGGCGCCTGGGATCGAACCCAGGAGCACAGGATCACAAGTTCAGTGTGCTGTCCGCTCGGCCAACCGGCTCCCGCAAACACGCCATCACCATCAGTGATGGCGTGTCAGATCAGATCACACGCCATCAGTGCTAGTGATTTATAGTTTTGGTTTTTAGGAATTATTTTATTTCATAAAGTTTTAAGCTTATTTTAGAAAGCTGCACTAATGGAAGTTAGAGACCTGTTATTTTTTCCGATAGTTGTGGTGAACTTCCCTCTGCTGGATGACCCTGAAGTTAAACTGGTGGCTTGGACCACCACCCCTTGGACTCTTCCCTCAAATTTGGCCTTGTGTGTCAACCCAGAGATGGACTATGTCAAAGTCCAAGGCAAGGTAGGCCACTAACTTTTTCTCTTGAGTACTGTGCTGTGTATCGATGTTATTTATTCGTGTTCAGATGTTTATAGTTAGGTTGGCTTGTGTATTATATGAAGTATTTCAATGGCTTAACTTCATGTTGGCTAAAATAATTATATTCAGTTAAGATAGGTATGTTTTGAAAGTGTAATATATTAGGACAAATACTAAACATCTCAACTTACAGAGAAAATACATGTTAGTTAATTGACCTTCAAGAAGTTGTACAGTTAAATGCAAATACTATTTGACTTTAAAATAACCTCTGCAATGATTTAGAAATGTACTGTATTGAACTTGACAATCATTGATGCAAGTATTTATATCAATTATCAATAATTCTTCTTTATATCACAATAATCAAAATTTCTGAAGTGAAGTATTTATTTATATACAGTACACATAGAGAGGGGGTTTCTTTTTAAAAAAGGCACCCTTGGTGCTCCATTAATGTTGTCACAGTCGGCAAGATTGTGGGAGATGGGTACAGTGGTCAGATCTCCCCCTCCCTTGCTCTAAATACCCACCCCCACTAGGCCAATATGGAGGTAGATAAACATATTTGCTTCTCGACTTACAAATTTTTGTATCAAATGTAGAATCTAGTTTCATAGTTTTTCTTCACATATGGGAGAGGGGGGGTATCATACCAAATGTTGAGGGTTTAAGGTATGAAAATGTAAAAGCAAATTACACGACTTTGTGAATCTTCCTTATACAAGGGCATTCACTTGTATGCTGCATAGGATGCCTTAACTAAAGCCTAAGCTCTTCCTCAGATGGGTTTCCAATGAGATATTAACTTTATTTTCATTTCATTATTTTCCTTCGCAGACAAAAGAGAGAAATGGCATCTACATCATGATGGAGGCTCGCCTCTGTCAGCTCTTCAAGAATGAGACCGAGTATGATGTTATAACCAAGTACAAGGGAAAGGAGCTTGAGGGAATCCATTACCAACCTTTGTTTGATTACTTCAAAGAGGTAAGATGTAAGTGAATAACTGGATAACACAAAACCTGGCTACCCAGAAAATGCTACTTCAAAGAGTAGCCAAGGTCAGTTTTGGTAAATGTAATATCCGAAGAACTTTCGTGAAGGCAGGGAATAGTGGCTGAATTTTAGAACGCAAGAGAAAAACAAATCTGTAGTTGTACCATATTGTGTAAACCTATAGTTGGGGACGAAGCCTGCTAGGTTAACAAGAGCCTTCCTATGTCATCTGCTGACCTTTCTCAGGATATAGCCTTCAGCAGTGTCCAAATCCCAGGTACCTATTTGCTGGTAGGTAAACAGGCACCAGATGTAAAGGTGTGTTTCCCAAATGCTTCTGTCCTGCCTTGGGAATTAAACCTGGGATCTTTCAGCTGAACACTACTCCACTGGGTGTTCAAATGTCATTCCTTAATAATTGTTTGCCACTCTTCTCTTTACTGACAACACTATCAATGGAAAAAAAAGCATCTTGGTCTGTCTTTTGGTATTTATTCCAAGACAAATTTATCAAATTTTTAAGGCACAGAACATATGTATTATGTATTCTAAAGTATTATTCCTGAATTACAGAAAAAAGCAGATGGAGCATTCAAGGTCCTTTGTGATGGATATGTTACAAGTGAATCAGGCACTGGAGTGGTTCACCAGGCACCCTACTTTGGTGAAGATGATTTCAGAGTGTGTTTGGGTTACGGTATTATCAAACGTGATGAAAAACCAGTGTGCCCTGTTGATGATGTTGGTCGCTTTGTCCTCCCTGTGGTTGACTTTAGTGGCATTCATGTCAAAGAAGCCGATCCGGAAATCATTAAGCTTTTGAGATCACGGGGAAGGTTGGTTCAAGCAGATCGTATCAACCACAGTTACCCGTTCTGTTGGAGGTCCGACACTCCTCTGATCTATCGAGCTGTCCCATCGTGGTTCATCAGGGTAGAACATATGCAAGACAAACTTTTAGCTTCTAATGAGAAAACCTACTGGGTACCCAGCTTTGTTAAAGATAAAAGGTATGCATTTCAGTATTCTGTATTTGCATATTTTAGACTTTTACCATGTAATTTAAGCACTTTAACTATTTCCTTGTCATTAGCTAGCCATAACAATTTTGTAAGTGAATATTTTGGCATGGATTATAATTTTTTATTATTTCGAATAAGTTTTTAATATTATGTACAGAGGTGCCTTATAAATTAGATTTGTGCTACAAAATTTGTGCATAATAATTGTGCATCCGTAAGGGATAATTTTTGTAGCGACATGTGTAAAATATTACATAATGTGTTAAGTGGTTTTACAGAGTAATAATAGACTACAGCATAGTAATAACTAATTATTATGGCAGATTTGCAAATTGGTTGCGTGATGCTCGAGATTGGGCAGTCAGCCGTAATAGGTATTGGGGTACACCAATTCCTCTATGGGCATCTGAAGACCTTTCCGAGGTATGTAATTATTTACCAAGTTTTTCATGAGCAGTTATGAACAGCAGTTATGAACAGCAGTTATGTACAGCAGTTATGTACAGTTATGAGCAGTTATGTACAGCAGTTATGAATGACAAAATTTGAAAAATGATTTAGCGGCAAGATATAAACTCTTGGGAATGATTATAATGCCAATGGCTTTTATTTAAGAACACACTCCCAGTGCCAGGGCCATTTTTGTTTAATTTATATTTGCCATAAAGCAGATTACTGGTATAATGTAAGCAGTTCAGCAATACCTCACTGATAACACTGTCAAATTGGCAATTTTTTGTGTGGGGGGGGCTGTTATTTAGTATTTGAATTGTGGGCGGCAGAGAAGGAATATTTGGTAAATCGATGTTAGGTGATCACCGTCGGTATTGTTTATATAGATGGACAGTTGAGGACTAAAGACTGGGTACCACAAATTTTGAAGTCTGCATGAGTATTGTCACAAATTGGAATAAGAAAATAGTGTGTGAATAGATACAAAAATGTAAACTGCTGTTATTGCAGAATGTGATTTACAGTAGTAATTTTTTGCTGTAAATATTTAAAAATTCGTAGCTAGCATGTATTTTGCTTTATGAACTCTTTAGATTACCAGGAACATTTTTTGTAAGTTATGGCCCTGTTAATAGGAATATTTGGGTTGTTTTGTTTCAATAATATCTTCAATCACTTCCCATTCTGGTTACTCAAGTTGTGCAAAGTACAACCACCGATTGTGACCAAATTTGTGTATTCGACTCAATCTGATTTTGCTATTTAGTTTAGATCTTAATTTCTCTGTGGCTTTGCTAAACTTCACAGGTTGTATGTATAGGCAGTATTGCCGAGTTGGAGAAGTTGTCTGGAGAGAAAGTTACCGACCTTCACCGTGATAACATTGACCACATAACCATCCCGTCGGCCAAGCCAGGAAATCCACCATTAAAACGTATCTCGGAAGTGTTTGATTGCTGGTTTGAATCTGGTTCCATGCCTTATGCTCAGGTAAGGTGCATTATTGCTAACATTTGTATACATGTTTTGTGTGTTTTTACTACTACTGCATGTTGTTAGTTGTAGAATTGATCCTTGCATCCAACTCGGTGTAACCTCAAGGCATTGTATCTCTTTCATCTTTCACTTTATCAGACACACAATAACTGGGATATGTTTATTTTGTTGGTAATATTCTTTTCTTTTAAGCTTGTCTTCTGTTTTTTCAAACCAGTGCCAGCAGCTGCCAAGACAATCTCATTATACTAAAAAACCACTCGGTGCATTCCATGAATAACTTTAATCCATACAGGATTTCCTAAACCAGATTGATTTTTTCAGTTGAAGTAGAATCCATTAAATAGTAATCTGATTAATAGAGGTTGCCAAGGTACAGCATTTGGGTAACATGCACCTGAACGCTGTTCAGATGTTGCATGTACATTAAACCAAAACTCTCGGCTCAAATGCTAGTGTTAAAAGACGTGTTTGATCAGGTGTGCATTGGTTTATACTAATTTGTGTGGCTTTCCTTGAGTTTTGTTACAAATCTCCAGATATTGTAGCCTAGAATCATAAATTAGTATCATTTAACGTTTGAATATGTTGAAAATACTAATATAAGAAGCTTCGTAGCTTCTGTGGCACTTTAAAAGTACTGTACTGTGATTGCATTTTGGGGTGGCGGAATTTTTTTCATTATTATACATCCATAGTCGGGTATTTTTTTCTGTTTTATACAATCAATTTATTTTTGCAGGTCCACTATCCATTTGAGAACAAACGAGAATTTGAAGATTGTTTTCCTGCTGATTTTATTGCTGAGGGCATCGACCAAACACGTGGCTGGTTCTACACACTCTTGGTAGTTTCGACAGCCCTCTTTGGAAAACCTCCGTTTAAGAATCTGATTGCAAATGGACTGGTGCTGGCAGAAGATGGTCAGAAAATGAGCAAACGTAAACAGAATTATCCAGATCCAATGGGAGTAGTTAAAAAATATGGTGCTGATGCTTTAAGGCTTTACCTTACAAACAGGTAATTAAGTGTACAACAGTCTTATTATTCTGATCTTCGTTATGCCTTCATTCGTTTTTCTCATTCTTCATTCTCATTATTTCTATTCGTATAGTTGCTTGGTGTAATAAACTTAATTACCTTTAATTTTTTCTTGTTTTAGTATTTTAATTTCTGCAATGATGGATAATAACAATTTATTGCCATTTAAAAAATTACATATAAGAGTGCGTGTTGCCTTTCTTTTTTTCATCTTTGTTTAGTCTATACCATTTAACTAATAGAGTAATATTGAAATTTTTAAATATTTATCTCTGTTTGGTTCTGGTGGATCACAGTAATATAGTTAATGAAATAAGTACAGAGGTTGGCACTATAACTTGATGTGATCATTTTGTAAGTAACATTGGCATTAGTTTACTTTATAGCGGATAACCTCTGCTTTGTCTATGTACAGTACTTGGTTATTGGTTATAATTTCAACTTTATGTACATGTAAACATAATATGGGTTTTTATGATTGCAGTCCAGCGGTTCGTGGTGAAAATCTACGCTTTAAGGAAACCGATGTATTTAATCTGCTAAAGGAAGTATTCATCCCATGGCTCAATGCTTACCGTTTCTTTGTGCAGCAAGTTGAACGGTAAGGAAGTGCATGATGATTAAGAATGCATTCTTTAATTTGTAAGATTTCTAGTTTTGAATTGTGTAATGAAGTTAAATTTTGCACTTGGTTGTTCATGTGAGAATGAATAGCTTGTAATACACATGACATCGTGACCAAACTTATTTGTCGTTGGTAAATTGACTCGCTAATACAGTGGAACCTCTTAATACTGTATCTGGATCAAATAGCTCTGGACTCAATCTGAGTTTTGCATAAAATTTGGATTTAAAAAAAAATGGCTTTTATTTTGTGTATAATTAGATTTCCTAGAATTATTCTGTAACAAATATACTGTGATTCATATGGTTTTAGTTTTCCTTAGTTGGGACAGATGGCTCTTTTTATTAGGGTATCACCATTGCTTAATTGCTGACCTTCCCCAAGATGCGACCTACAACAGTTGTTATAACTCCCACAGACCTACATATCTATATTAAAAATATTTACATCTCACTTATTAAATGCAGGTCAGTTGTAAGAACCGTCATCTCACATTTTGCAGATACGAGAAAGATGAAGGTGAAGAATTTGAGTTCGAGGAAAGTGTAATTGGTAAATCCCACAACGTCATGGACAGGTGGATCCTGTCGTTCACTCAGTCACTCCTCCGCTTTGTGCACCAGGAGATGAGTGCATACCGTCTCTACACTGTGACTCCAAGGCTTGTCAAATTTGTTGATAATCTGACGAATTGGTATGTGAGATTCAACCGCAAGAGGCTGAAGGGAGAGACTGGTAAAGAAGATTGTTTGAAGGCATTGGAGACCCTGTACTTTGTGTTGTTTTGCATGGTGCGAGTCATGGCTCCCTTCACACCTTTCATCACAGAAACCATGTACCAAAACCTGAAAAGAGTTCTCAAGCCTGGTGCCCTGGGAAAGGTGGGTTTCATATAGCATAGTATTGCAACCATGAGATTCTAGATAATTTACCGGCTGCAAGAAGATAAATGTTATAATTAAACCTATATATTTTAGTTTATATTAACCTCATTTATATGGCTTTCAGTTAATTCTGGTGAACTAGAATAATGTAATTAGGTCGAGTTTTATCTCTGGTTCTTGTCAAAATAGTGAGTGCCAGCTTTTTCTCTCTGTGCAGGTTTCCTCTGGAACTGTTAAACTAACATGAGATGAATTGGGTGTTATTCACAATCAAAATAGTGCAAGTAATGGCATTTTCTTAAGCATTCTTTGCTAGGAAGATGTTTTTCGAGTTTTCATAATGTAAAGCCCTGGGGTTCCTACTCCTTTGTATGAATGGGATGTGACTGTAAAAGCATTACAAATTCATGTATTGTGCATTGTAATACTGGTTTTGTGTTCAAGGTTATGTACACCTGCTTGTTTTACACGTTATAATATTGTGACTTAAATAGACTTAAATAGAAGATTGTACATGTTAGATAAGCTTCTTTTAGTGTTAAAATGCAGATGCATTAGGAATAAAAGTAACAAAAAAAGAAGTGTATGGTGTGTGATTGTAGTGTGGAGGCGATGGTGTGCATGATTGTAGGATGGGGCGATGTTGTGTAGGCTGGATGCTCTGAGTGGGAAGATTTAATATGGAGAAAGTGACTTGAGAAATGTGTACAAACACAAGCTAATGAAAGTATCCATAAGAACAAATTTTGTTTAATTATTTGACAAAAATCATGGCCATCCAGGAGAGGTTGTCTGTAATTTGTTTGTGCACGCGATGAGACTACAATACTTACTGTCTGTCTAAATTATACGATAGCACTGAATTTAATTAATTTTCGTTCTGTATCACTATTATTATTATTGACAGGGTGACACAAATTCGGTCCACTACTTGATGGTTCCGCAGCCAATAGAGAAGATGATTTGTTCGGAGATCGAAGCATGCGTAAATATACTACAGAGTGTTGTGGAACTAGGCCGTTATCTTAGAGACAAGGTCAACATCCCGGTGAAGTATCCATTGCCAGAGGTGGTAGTCATCCACAAAGATAAAGCCATTCTTGATGATGTTCTAAGACTGGAAAACTACATAAAGGAAGAGTTAAATGTAAAGAGTGTAACTACATCCACAGATAAGGAGAAGTATGGAGTGGCATTGAGAGCAGATATGAATTTCAAAGTGTTGGGGGCAAGACTGAAAGGAGATGTGAAAATGGTCCAGCAAAAAGTTGCTGAACTTACTGATGAAGAGATTCAGCATATGCTCAATTCTGGTTCAATTACTATTTTAGGACATACTATTGATGCTTGTGACTTGAATGTTAAATACAGCTTCAGTGGTGAGAGAGCAGCTGAATTGGCATCCAGATACGAGGCTCATTCAGATGACACTGCCTTAATTCTTTTGGATATTACGCCATCACAGGAAATGCTAGATGAGGGATTGGCACGCGAGGTTGTAAACAGAGTGCAGAAACTAAGAAAGAAAGCAAAGTTAGTTCCAACAGATGAAGTAACAGTATGGTATCATGTGGATGAGAAAGATAGTGATTTGGCACCAATTGTTACGAAGTACTCTGAATACATAGAGAACTCTACGAGGACACCATTTAAGCCAATCTCGGAGAAAGATAATTCAGCTGTGCTTATTGAAGAAGTAGCCAAGGTTAAAGATAGTCCTCTCAAACTAGTAATTACTCAAGGATTTTGCTCTGGGTGGTCCACCAATACAAACACTGAGGAGGTCACTGCTCCAGGTGGTGTAAGTTGCCCATGGGTCAATATCATTCTTGATGGTACTCCAAGGTATGGCACTAATAGCTGTAGTGCCACATTATTATTAGAGAATCCTGTTGGAAAGCCAGTAATTAGTTCATGTCAGCAAATGCTTGAAGAAGCACATGGAATCTTTGGATTTCCCCTTCAGCATGCCAAGTTACATGTAGAAAGAAAGCCAGTCGACAGCAAAGCACCAATTGCTTCCCTTTCTGGAAGAACAGTTGTCATCACCTATGAAAAAAACAAAGTTCCAGTTGCAACATCTGCAATTAAGCCATATAGCAGGTAAGTGTTCAGTTGTTAAATAATTTAACAAGTATATGGTCATCAGTCACTTTAGCAAGTTATTTGTATTACAAAGTACCTATTCACAGTTTTTTGAGAAAACGTATGGAATTTAATTAATTGTAGTAGCTTGAAACTTACACTGCAGTCTATTTCATAGGTCATTAACCCTTAAACTGCTTCCATTGCCCTCAAGTGATAGGGTACTGCTGGTAAATCTTTTGCCACGTCCTTCTTTCTTTGTACAGTTCTACAACATTTTCCCAAGCCTTAAACCCCGACACTTCCACTAGCTCGCCACCCTCTCTTGCTTCCCCGGAGCCTGAAGCCGATGATGTCCCTCTGGTTTCTCTGGCCCGTGTTTTTTCCTCCCTTTCGTTTCCTGCCATATTTGGGTCACTTCACCCTCTCACTCTTTTCATATTGACTGTGAACCCCTCTTTTGGCTTTCCCCAGCCTATGATCATCAGGGCCTAGATCCACCCTCCGTTCGCCCCTACATAGGGGCATCAGTCCCTACTCTCGCTTGTGATGTATTTTGACTCCTACCCCTTAGAAGGGCATTGTTCTCTTTCCTTTTCAGGAAGTACTGTATTGCCTATTTGTAAGATTCTTGGAACTCGTTTGAAGTACATGTATTGTCCCTTATGATGATTCTTCCTTGGCATTGTGGAGGGTCCCACAATGTGAAATTTTGAAAGTTTATACCCTTTGTACTGTTATGAAACTGCTTTTCCTTGAACATTTTTTTCGCGCCCCATTGCTCTGTTCACAGGCGAATCTAAGTATACCGACAGTGTTGGTTACTCGGTTGTTTTTCTTTATCAAACTTGCATGAGGTGCCTGCCCTCAGAGACAGGTGGAGCTTTATACAATTTTGTATGCTCTTTGTCAGCTGCTTTTTAGGCATAAAGTAATGACCATAATGACCATTGACAAGGTTGATAGTCTGCATTACAAGTAACACTGTTCACTCTTAAAGATGACTTATCCTCTTGGCCTTCCTCCTACCACTGTAACACTGTACTCTGGTAAATGGCTCTATACGTATCAGTCACATTGATCTAACTTATGAGTTATTAATAATTCAACCTACCCTAGCTTTGTGCCTTGAAGAGGGCACTCCAGACAGACAACCAGAGCTCAACTCAATAGTTTCATGAGACTGTTGGGTGCCTACTATGACTTAATGGAACAATGCCCTACTCCTTATTGTCTGAACTGCATTGTCCCACTTAGTTGTGCACTTCCTTGCTGAATGCTCTGATTTTTCAGGATGATTGTCTTTTTTTCCTTATGTTCCTCCTGGTACCTTGTTACTTTATAGAATCATTGATGAATACCTTTGAAGTTGCTTGCCTTATGCCTTTGTTCAGGTATTGGCATCTTGAGTGATACTTAGTGCTTTTGGACTATCCCACGACACAGTGCTACATAGTCTTCCCAGCTTGATGCATTCTCTTGATCATGACTACTTATTTGTGGGAAAGTATTTAAGTAATTTTTATTTTTTTTTAACTTAAGGGGCCGTCTGGTTATTATATTGAAAGTTGTTCAATGTCAACCAATATTATTTTTCTAGTTGCATATGAAAAGTGCTTAAATTGTCCCAAGTTTCAGTACTGCAGCGTAAATAGAAAGGGAGTTTTTTTTTTTTTTTTTTTTTTTTGAACGTTTTTTACACATTTTCAAGTCCACACTTCAGAACACACGTGTCAGATAAAATTATTCTGTGACACTTTTCTGACACATTAGCATATTATAAAGGATTTGGGGATTTAGAATTTCCAAAACATCTTTAGTTTTCCTAATACAAATGTTCAAAGTTCCCCAAATTTTTTTTGCAAATATGGCATGTTTATTGCTATTATAAAATCAATAAATGAACTTAGAGAAAAATGAAAGCCCCCCAATGTAGAGACATGCCCTCCACATATACTGTGTAAGTTTCATGTAAATTGAATAAAAAAGGAATCAGTTTTGTAAACGTTTGTGTCAATTGAAAAAAAAACAGAAATGAATAAAGTTTAAGGTTCTAAAATCTGTGGCTGGGGTTGACATCAACCAATTTTCTCCAAAATTGGCATCCTTACAGATAGGCTTACGTACAGTCAGGTGTGTAAGTTTGATGCAAATCGCCCCCAAAAAAAATGAAACAAAAAAATATTAAAAAAAAAAAAGAAAAAAAATCCTTTTTTTTTTTTTTTTCCTTAAATTTTTTTTTCTAATTAAACTAATTATAATATTTGTTTAATATATGCTATTGTGATAGCAAAGAGTCGTAGTTATGATTTCAGTTGACACTTTTGATTGATAATCGATTTTAACCATTTTTGCATAATTTTCACAACTACTTCAATATTTTTTTTCTCCCTTCCTATTTATGCTACAATGCTGAAACTTGGACCAGATGAACCACTTTTCATATAGAACTTGCCAAAAAAGTTTGATTGAAATCGAATGAGTTTTCATTTTTTGCATTTTTGGACCCAGATGCCAACCAGACGCCCCCTTAAGCCAAAGTTGTTTGTTTAATGATTTAATCTATTGATGTAGCTTGGTAATTTTTGAGGAGTGTGTTACTGCAGTCTATCCAAACGTTTTGTACATTTGAAAGAAGTTGAGTGAAATTGAAGAGAGTTAGATTTAGTCCTATAATGTTATAAATTTGTAATTTGTTAAATAACCAGCTAAATTTATTATTACCAGTTGGTGCTGATAATATTAATGGCAACTTGATGCCAAGAGGCACTTGAACACTAATGTTTTAAATAACATATTGCTTGAAAATGCAAATAATTACCGTTATTAGGGGCAGGAAGCTTGTACTTGGGCTTATCCAGGTCCTGGGCCAACTACAGACCTTACCTAGGATGCAACTCACAATAATTGTCTAACTCCTGGCTACCTATTTTATTGTTAGATGAACGAAGGCATGATGAAACAAAACATGCCCAAACATTGCTCCCCTGCCCGAGGTCCTCATTTGAGTCAAGAACAATAGATTGGTGTGCTACAGGTCCCTGTACGCTTAAGCTATACTTATCTTATTTATCTTTTATATTCAATACTACTATGAGATTAAACTGATAACTTTCTTTTAATCACTTGTCCAGGTTTGTCAATGTTGAAGGTTGTGGCAAGAAGGGCTGTGTGGTGTTAGAGAATCCCTGTGGCGATGGCATCATGTCGACGCTGACTTTCACAAGTGTTGTGCAGAAGATCTTGGGTTTGACTTCCAAGCCTGCCATCTTCACTGATGCAGAGAAGCAGCATCCACTCTACCTTAATGGGAATAGCTTAGCTAAGCTCAGTGGATGCAGTGTGCATGTCTGAGTGATGTTTGGGAGAATTTGCAAGTTAGATTGATGCTCATCTCCTAGTGTTATTTCCTAATTTCATAGGGTGGGAGGAGGTCAAATGTTAAAAAATTTACAAAATATAGGAATGTGGTATGAAAATGTTCTGTCACAAAGCTGTCATGATGGTACTGCTGTTTATGGTGTCAACTCAAGAGGAACTTGTGCTGTATTATAGCATGTAAGGTTTTCCAGGAATACTTGGCTTCACATTTTAAAGTATAGTACTCTACTTTTTGTGAAACGTAGATGTATTAATACAGTATATAATATATTGACAAATTCAATTTGTAAGATAAATACAAAATAGGTAAATAATAGCTGTCTCTTTAGTTATGTGGGGGCTTGAATAAATGTATCGTGTCACAGTCTCTCTGAACGTAGTCCCTTAACGGGCATTTCATCACTAATTTCCATTGTTTTTAGTGCACTTGGAAGAATGCAGCCATTACTTTGGCAAAGCTAAGTCAGATCACATTTGTAGAAAGAGCCTCCTGTAGGCCCTCTCTCTTCTCTTTTATTAGTAGATTTTTCTCTATTAATTAAGCTTCTTGCAATTTTTTTCTTATATCCTTTTTCCGATTCTTCCTTTTCCTTCACATACTTCTAGCCTTTATTTTACCTTTTACTTTATTCTTACCTTCTCTTTCATCTTATTCTTATCTTCATCTTTCTTTTTTATTCATCTCTTTCATTTCACTCTCTTCCCTCATACTGTTCATTACTTCCACTCTTTCTAATACACGACTTGATAATAGTCCAAGACCGAATCATTGTCATTTCTTAATTTTCTTGTGTGTCGTTTAGATATTATATCTTCAGCCACGTTATTGTGACTCGTCTTCAAAGACATTCATGGTGCACTGCTTGGAATATGTCATCTGCCAAAGGAATGGTTGCATTCTTACTACCTACAACACGGCACTAGTGAGATGTGATTTAGTTTGACTGTCCCATCATACAGGAAATTGTTAGGGTAATACTTTTTTCTTCTGCAACTTACATTGCATATATATGAATATATTTAATTAAATATCCAATAATTTTTTATATCATGATTGAGGTACCAATGTTCCATATTTTTTTCAGTGGCATGAGTTGTCATCCCTTAATACTTAAGCCACTGTACATTATCTAATATTTAGATACCAGTACTTATTGTTCTTGAATGCTAGGAGCATTTTCAAAGTATAATCTTTTGTGATTTAAGTGTTAAATTATAGAATATTTACTCTGTATTATGTTGTAATAAATAGCAGAGGGAAGGTGTATTTGACTGGAATGATTAATATACTGGCTGGTTTTATCATGGCCATGGAATATAAAAGTGTAGAAGTTTCATTAAATCCTACTGGCTCACCTGGATGCCAGAAAACTGAAAATCCAAACTACAAGAGATTGTGCAACATAATTGGGGCTGTGTAAGATGGTAGGTTGAGCATCTTTACAACAACACTGTTTAACTTGTATCTTTTTCCAGGTTCTTATTGATTCTTTCTAAGCATTGTTTCTCAAATATTTCATTTTATTTAAGATTTGGTTAGTTTGCCAAAGAAAATTATGGAAACATTACCTAGCCCACCTATCATGGTGTTCAAGAGAAAACTCAATAAACACCTGCAACGGATACCTGATCAACACGGCTATGATTCATACATCAGGCTGCTCACAGCCTGATGTATGATCCAACAGCCTGGTTGACCAGACCACCAACCAGGAGGCTTAATCAGAGACCAGGCCATGGGGGACTGAATCAGCACAAGGTAAGGAGTTATAAATTTTAGAGCATTGTCCAACACACAGTAATGCTTTTTAAATTATGGGGGGGGGGGGATCACTGTAGGCTAAGTATTGAATTACTGTATTTTAAAAAGTGATAAACATAAGTAGATTAATTATCAAGGATATTAATAGTGTGGTACAACAACAAAAATTTCAACTTAGGTTAGATAAACCCTTCTCATATCTGTGACATGTTTATAACTCCATATCAGCCTAGTTTGGTCCTAATGGTGTGTTGCAGTTTGGAACCCTTTTATTAATCTGATGTTGCTAGAAGATTTACGGTGTGGCTGTTCTTGTTGGAAGTTGTTCTCTGGGGAGGTGATGGCGAGTATATGTTGTTTGCCCTCGGCCCATCCTCCAATAATGAAAGTACAGTATGTACATACAACAAACATTTAGTGAAATGTACAAAAAGGTACTGTTTGATCCAGAAAGGTTTTGAATTATCAGTCTTAAGTAATATGCTAAAAAAAATTTGAGAACTGAAGAACCTAACTTGTACAAGGCCTAATTAAGCAACCCTAGGCCTAATATAGTACGTATGTGCTCTACTAGGCCAAGGAATGTTTTCTGGACCCTCTACAAGATTAGTACAGAATGTAAATATTGGCTGCAACAGTCTTATTTTTTACCTTTGACCAAATAGGTAATATAAGTACCATTTTAGGAGGATAGGCTGGTTGCAACATAAACTATAGTAATTGGAAACAAGTTATTAATTCCCAAGACCTGCAATATCCAATCATTCACCATTCAAAGTTACATATAAATTTTATGGATGTAAAGTGTTTGTTTTATACATTGCACATTTACAGATTAATAAGTTAACACTAGTTTGTTTCCACTTTAAACAAAAGCCATTAATATGTATTTTTGTTGCTGCAAATTTGGTTGGGATTTTTGAGGTTCAATTTCCATTATATTTGCTGATTCTGGAATGTGTGGGAGTCTGTATTGCAATATGTAAACAGTATTACAATAATAGGTCTTGGCTCTTTAAGGACAGTATTTCTAAAATGTTTTCCTCCTAGGAATGAATTTGTCAAGTGCTTGAAAACAAATATGAACATTCTATTAATCGTTTTCCACTGATGGAGTGGAGACAAAAAACTGTATTTTATAGTAAAGGTTATAGCTAAATATTACTTTCATGTGTCCAATTATGTCACAGTATACAGTGTAGTATCACCACAGCTTCAGAAGACCAAGAATACTGTAGTGTAAGCCATATACAGTATTCAAATACTGTATGCTATATTCACTCCCTTGACCTAGCTTTCTTTTGTACAATGTCCCGTGCTTTATTCACAATCCCCATGACCAAACTTCTACTCCCCCTCTGTATTCATTTGGACACCTTTCACCAGTCCACCATGATCCATTGGTCAAACGTTCGCAAACCATCTCAATATGCTCCCTCATTCTAGCAATTTATTAACTTGTGCATTCAACTTTAAATTTTTATTTCTTTCTCAGACTGCTACATAGTTTTGATACCTTCTTTTAATAATCACTTGAGCATCATTTCTACTTTTCCTACTCTTTGATTTTTCATTCATACCATACCATTTTTACATTACATTATCAAAATTTGCTCAACTTATGTCAGCAATACAGTAAGTAATGATTCTGGGTTAGTACAAAAGTGATTATTGTACTCTGGCAATGTTTTTGGTTGGTACGTTGACATAAAAATGAATAGATTGTTGTAATACTGTAAGGGAATATATCTACCAAAAGTATGCTCTTTTGTCAAATGTTTGTTTTAGGCAAAAAATTATTAAAGTACATTTATATTTGAGTGGGAATGGCCATCCACGTGTACAGTAATCTGCCAGTTATTCCACCAATTTGGCTGGAGATGGCACTAATGTACTGTGTAATACTCGTACATGTTCTGTACATAAGTAGTATACATAAGTCCACAAAGGGTTTAATATGTGTACATTACAGTACAACAAAATTATACAACTATAAATTCTAATTTTTACAGCTGTTATTAGAGTGGACCAACCGGCCATGGATGTCTTCTAAAGTCTTTGCATTTAAGTATTAGAGAAGATTGCTTATGTAGAGAAAGGAACTTTTTTCCCAGTATTCTGACGATTAAAAGAAGGTAAGAGTTGTAGAGTTAAAACAGGGCTTAGATTAAATATGAACTTAATGGTGCTAAGAACCTACATGCTATAGTAGCATTTAACCTGAGAAAGTGGAGATGCAGGCAAGTATTACACAGGAAATATCCATTCTATAACACCTTATCAAGAAGTTTTGGCACAAAATGTCTGTATTAAGTAAATACTTTATGATTTCTACTAATGAAAGTAATAAGTGGGACTAGTCGAAACCTGTACTGTGTTAATGGGTACATATTTTTGCATTGGACATAATTTTATGTTTACAAATATAATTTGCCTGTGACATTTTTTTTTTTTTTAAAGTGCCAAATCTATCTACTGGCATACCTCATTACCATACATGAGTTGTCCCAAATACCATATTACTGTAATTAATCTGTTTATATACTGTACTTTCACAAATGTGGATTTTTTATTTCCACTTTTGGTTTTCTGGCTGCTGCCATCAAATTTTCTAGTTAATTGCAGGACAAATGTTACATTGATATCATTTGATTTGCTTTTCTGCAGTAAATTTAATTTTTCCTAATGTTTAAATTGCAACAGATGATCCCTTAATTCTGGGTAAATAGTGATTAGTACATGGCTACTGAATAAGTGTTGCAGAAAGTAAAACACAAAAACTGGATTGATTATTTTATGAATTAGTGATTTAAATGTTTGTAAATATATTTATGGCTTCCACTTTAATGTAATTTAAATTAAATATATACTGTACTTTAAAAATAGATACAAAAGGAATGACCTATTTTCAAAATAATAAGTCACAGCTAAAAATGGAGATTTAATGCATAAAAGTTTCATATATGAAGAAATATTTGGTTACTGCTGCTACTGTAGTGCTTGAGTTCGTCACCTCGCAGAGAGAATATCTCTGAATCCAATTTGGGTCCATTCTTTGCCTGAAACACAAATGTGAAGTAATAAAAAGAATGTCCTGCAAAAGTTATTTTGCTAACCAATCCTAGTTAATTCCACACTATACACACACACACAGGGGAAGGGGGGGGGGGGGCTGGTGGCCGTGTTGACAGGATTCGTAATCCTAGAGTCCGGGAATCGATTCCCGGCAATGGTGGAAACAAATGGACAGTTTTTTTTCACCCTGATGCTGATGTTCACCTAGCAGTAAATAGGTACCTTGGAGTTAGACAGCTGTTATGGGCTGCTTTCTGCAGGGGGGGGGGGGGGGGATTGCTTTTCTTAAAGCCACAGTTATATTCTTGGTTGCCCAATGTGACTTATAGGCCTATGGTATACTCAAAATAACAAAGTACTGTATTGGCTTGTTGGATAAACAGTACTGTACTGTACTCAAAAGATGGCTGGTATCCATTAAAACAGGTATGAACCTCACCTTTCCCATAGCAACTCTCTGCCAAGAGCTGTGGTCACAATTTGAACATGACTTCCTAGGCAACTTGTCCAAAGAAGTGGTTCTTCTTTTGCAGTTCTTGCATTCGAAAAACCTCTTCTTAGTTTTCACAGATTTTAGCGGATGGTTCTCTTCACGGCATAAATCTGATGCCGATTCCGCCATGTATTTGCACTAAGGGAAAATCAAAATATTAAAAATGTCAGTAACCATGTAGATAATGTAAGAAAAATTGACAAGCTAATTACATTATGCATAAAACAGTACAACCATATTTGTGTTCAGAAGAGAATAAGGTACCTGAAGACAAACGTATGCAGTGGTAGGAATTTCCATGACAGATAACAACTTCTCCTCCAGCATTTCTTTCTTCTCTAAGCCTTGATAATACTTGTCAAGTGCCTCATTTTCAACAACCTGGAATGTAGGAAACACATCTCAAGTTATTCTTGATACCAAAATGTCAGCTAACATGCTCCGGCAACAATCACAATTATATTTCCCATGCTCCAGCCTCGAAACCATTTTGAAAGGTAGCAAGGCTCATACCCAAATGAATAAAAATCATGTTAACTCTAAAATGAACCATGGCATTTTGTTTTAAATGTGGCCACCAAAAATCCAACTGTTACCCACTAAAATCTTTAAAAATGGGATCAGAACCACATTAAGTTACCTTCATACCCTAATATATCCCATGTTTTATGGGCAAATTTCACTTGGTAGTTGTCTCATATGGCAGGTTCAAATTCAAATTTTACCAAGTGAAAAGCAATTTCACCTTCTTGCCAGCATTTCTCAGGATTCAGCTCCTTAAAACTTAAAATATCTGTATTGTATAAGTTGGGCCATGATCCCAAAATTGTATAAATGAATGAGGCCCATTAAATTTCCCCACAGGTTGGTGAATGCAGACCCTGCATTTTCAGCAAATCCACGCGTCACCAGCTTCACTGAACAACTGTTTGGCAAAGCAGGCGAGTAAATCTAGCGTACAAAATGTGCACTGCAATGAGAGATTTGCTGAATTGCAAATACACTTAGTTTAAAACTAAAATTATCTGGAAAATGTTTGTCTTCAAACATTTCATTTAATCACTTTTAAGTCTTTGACACCACATTCTAGACAACCCCATTTGGTCAGAATTGTATTATTTTTTTGTAAATAGGCTGGAGTTCTTGAGCAGAATGACCATGAAAGATGTATGCAGAGATCTACAAAAATTGGATTACATTTGAGTAGCATCACACTATAGACCCTCAGTAAAAAGTAAGTGACCGATGGAAGTGATATTTAAATGCAAACAATATACACTACTGTACTTACATCTATTAAATTGGTATGACGTGATTTCTGTTCCATCATAGCTTTAAATTTGTCCGAGTTGACATCAATAGAACCAAGTTTTGATCTAGAAGAATCTGTTAGAATGGCCTCTGCTAGTCGTGTCCCACCTGTAAAACAATAACTATTAGAACAATATAAAGTATAACGAACATAAAGAACCAATTCGGCACATTTTTTCTTCTATTATTATTTGATATCGTTTGCCTTATGTGCTTGTGTTCTTGTATTGGCATCCCTAGTGATATTTAGCACCATTTTGAATATCCTGCACCTTTGAGAGTGCTGTATAGTCTCCCTGGCTTGGTGCTTTTTTGATAATTAATTACTTCTATTATTTCCTACTTGCCACTTTTATGGCAAGACAACAGTCTGGAGAAGATAGCGAGTATTACAATATAAGGAAAAAGTGGCAAATGATATTAATAAATAGCCTATCCATCCAACAACTCTTACATTATAGAACATCGGAGAACTAAGACCACTTCAGAAAATCATTCACAGTAGCATACCACCATTGTCACATTCAAACATTTACTCCCTATTTACAAACTGCTACTACTTACCCTTGTTCCCTACCAATTTTTATTTTATAATTACACTCAATGCCCCACTTCTACATTCACCATAATAGGCCTATCTTCTTTATCTTCCTTTCCCTCCTCTTCTCTCGTTCAACAACCTGGGCTGGACGGTTAGAGCCTTCATACTTCATGCAGGTCGGCATTCAATCCCCAACCGTTAAGTGGCTGAGCACAATTCCATTCCAAAACCTTTTCCTGATCCCTTCTAAGTGCTATATAGTTGCAATGGCTTTGCTCTTTCCCCCCTGATAATTCCCTCCCACCCCTTGTGGCAGCTATTTTGACTTCATGGTGGAGTTAGGAGTTTTTGACCACCCACTCCTCATAAAAAGGGGAGGCCTCTAGTGGAACAAGCCCATGTAAATCACCGAATTGTGTCAAGAATCATAAGATAAAAATCTAAATTTTTCAAAGTGATTTTAACATGTGCAAAATCATGTTCTATTGTTTTTGATAATAAACAAACAATTTTGAAAAAGAGGCAAACTTTGGATGCAACAAGATTCCAACTGCAGTGAAAAGACTTAGTATGAATCTTCTATTTGAGTAGCACCCCTATGCAAATCTGAAATTAGAGTAGGGGTACACAGTACAGTGAACTGTCTAGTTGGAATGGAGAGAGGTGCCAAGTAAGCCTTCATGATGGTCAGTTCAGCAGCATCCTCACCCACTCCTCATAAGTATGACCCAGGTTCAAAACCCTGGGCAGGTAGGTAGGACTGACCCCTATTTTTTCACTCCTGTGCACCCAACAAAAATTAGGGAGCTGACTATATATATAATGTTTTGAGGGAAAACATGGTACTGAATAATTTAGCCATTCCAATACCTGGCCCAAGGCCTGGGTTTAGGTCTTGGGCCTAAAAGCCATGATAGGGTAGATTCATTCTTGTCACCACCACCAGTGTAAGTGTAAGGACCAATAGCCTCATGAGAATAAAGGGTATTCAGAGAAGACTTTGCAGATTCCCCCCCTCAGGATTGCAAAATGCTGCCAAAATAAATAGGAAGATGAAAAGGAGGTACCAATTTTATTACATTATAGCTTATTACAAACTACAGCATTATAGTTTAGCTTATTATTAAATAAGCTAAACCACAATCAAAATTATACTGTAAAAACTAACCCACATGCATGAAAAGAAATGAAAAGTGATAACATCTCGGTCCATTCGGCATCCTTTTTAAACGTCATGACTTGATAAGTGTCCTTCAAGATGGGCTAAAATGTCATCACTTTCGTTTCCTTTTGTTAGTGTGGGTTGTGTTATTTGTTTCTGCCATGTTATTGTGGCCAATTCTCTGCATAGTGCTGTATACATGCAAGACTTACTGTCAGAATCAGAGGGCGTGCTTAATCTCTTTCTGACTTTCTCCTGAAAGTCAGGGTCAGCTGCTTTCTTTGTATTTTTTTCTGCATTTGGATTTTTGGCTTGGATTCCACCTTTCTTCAGCAATGTGGCCATCGCCCGTGCCTGTTGAATATGTACTACATTTAAAGAAAACTGATTTAATATTAAATCTGCATACTGTAGTTGAGAACAATTTTAAGGGTCAAAGCCCCTATCCCAGTAGCTATTATATTAATTTGTATTAGTCAACAATACTGTAATCTCAGTGTTATATCAAATAGTGGCACAAAGTCTCACTCCTTCCTTTGGAAAATCAATTTCATACTTTCTCCCAAGATATGTAAATGCCCCTGCCAGGAATACTATCATCCCCTCCTCCCAAAATTGTGCTCAACTAGCAATTATACACAGAAATCACAATAGCGTGATACATCAAATGAGCAAATCCACAAGGGCTCGAACATACATCCGGGATGATCCCAAATGCGCCTTAAGACTAAGGCGCGTCTGGGATCATCCCGGACGTAGGTTCACGGCCCTTGTGGATTTGTTCAACTAGCATACTTCTTAATATCACTGTTAATGTTATTCAATTCATGTAAAAAAAATGTAAGTTTGATTTACACTACCATACATCTTTTTCAATCTAGCCATAAACTTTATTCACAACAACTAAAGTCAAGTTCTTTAGGAGGCCTGGTCGACGACTGGGCCGCGGGGACACTAAGCCCCGGAAGCACCTCAAGGTAAGTCAATACATTATAATAATCTTGCCTCATGACACTGGCAAGCTCATACAAGAACAGTTAAATAACTGTTAGCTATGTAACTGTTCTTGCTGTTTTCACAGAACTCCGTAATATAAATATTACTCCACAGCTCTTCCATGTTTATGTACCTTGGCAGGATCCATTCTTCTAGGTGGGGAAATGTCCAAGTCAATATCACCTCCGGGCTGGGCACCACGACCCAAGGCTGGGATCGCCGATGGAGAAAATGAAGGTCTTGACAGTTTTGTCTCTGGCAAAAACGTCAATGAAGACTGCGACAAAGAATGTTCTTGCTGCAAGAAAAATAAAAAAATTGATAATTTACAAAGGGAGTAATTTGTTAAATTATAATAATCTTTGGAACATTCGTACAAAAGATGAGATGAATAACTGATGAAATGTTTGAGAGAACAATGAAGAGAAGGCAGACTAAAAGTCAGCTTGAGTAGAAAGATTGGTCCTTCGGTTTATTATTCTTGGGGAGAAAAATAATTTAAGACAAATAAATCTATGAGGATAATGTACACAAAAACAAAACAAACTATATGAATTATAAATTCCTTACTTGTCTTTTATGTGTCTGGATTTGTTTATGCGTCATATTAAGCAAGTCTTTGGCAGTGACACTGCGAATCTCTCCTGAGATGGTCTTTTTCTGCGAATCTTCCTTGACCATGTGACGTAAAAGATTACGAGCTCCAGGGGTAGGTGCCAGAAGCCTCTCACTACTACACAGTGGGAGCCAGATACAATCTTGCATTAGAAAAATTATAAAGTGAATTATAAACTGTATACAAAGCACCTGTCTCCAGTAAACCTAGCTGTATTCCTTATACAGTACTATAACTTAACTCTGAACAATTATCCTTGTCATTTTCATTACATAAACTAATGATCATAAACATGATCAATGCACTACAGTACCACTTATTACCATTGACAAGCTGAGGTACAATTTCCTGTCTCCCTGACAAAATATCAACACCTCTAAGAACTCATTTGCACAATCTCAAATGTAAGAAGAAATGGGGAATTTTATCTTTACATAGAATATACTGTGTAGAAAATAGTCAAAGTGGACAAGGAAAGCTAATTTAACTTGAGAGGGAGTACGAAGAAGACACCAGTGGAGGCTGAATACACAGTTCAGTCACAGACACACGCGGATATTCCAATACTTGATACAGGTTGGCAAATGAATACACTGAAGTTATTAAGAACTTCGCCCGTGCATAGCCGCAAATACACCGGTGTTCGGTGGAGATAGGGGCGGCAAGGCATAGGGCAACACCAATACTTAGGGCCCGATGGTCCAGGTGGGTGCCTAAGGCTGAATTAGGGATTGCCAACAGGAAGTTCCCGGCATGGGGCGCTTGCACGGGTAGAAGACGTGCTCTGTCCTTCCCAGATGCTCCTCCTCTCATCCATAATCCCCCCCCCCCCCCAAAAAAAAATACAAAACAGAAATGGAAACTCAATGAGATGATATAAAAAGTTAGGAAGTGTGGACATAAGAGAGCTAGACCTTGCACCACCATAATCACTCGCAGGTAAGCATCCAACAAATGCTAATATTTGTGCAATGTGAGATAAATAGAACTGAAGCAGAGTAACATCAAGTTTGCATTTGTAATTTAGTAATCAGTAAAGAAGTGGTCAAAATTCACTGACACCCGCATCTAGAGAAAGCATGGAGCAACCAATATATTCCAATAAACTTTTGAAGGTTTGATATATAGTAAAGTTAGGAACTATAAACACTGAATTATTTGGCTTTAACAAAAATTAAGTACAGAAGAAAGACTGGAAAATGAAAGATACCAATTACAATACAGTACTGTATAATATATGTTTATATAACAACTGTAATAACGGATCTGGAATATATATAATACTGTACTGTACATTACTTACAAATTATCATTCTTTTGAGCAACCTGTCTAACTGCATCAATTTCACCGTCACTCATGTGTTTCAAGACGAAGGAATTTTGTTTATCTTCGGCCTTCAGCTGTTCCGCCTTCATTTTAAGTTTGAGGGAATTTAGAGTTGACAGATCCTTGGCTTTATTGGCTCTAGCTTGCTTGGGAGCATTCCCTGGTGCTGGTGAGGTGTACAGCTGCCCACCATAAAATACCTAAAAGATGAGACAAAGAGGGCTTTAAATTAGTAACAAAAGGGAGGTTCCAATTCAGATTGGTTAAAGCTACCTTCCATTCTTACACATGTTTTGTACTACCTTGTTTATATTGTACATTTTAGAATAGTTAATATAACAGCCATAGTGCAAAACCATAGTAAATAAAACTGAAAAAAAGGCACCTGATCTTTGCCAAGGACTCTCTCCTGCAGCCTGCGTCGAGGGTCCACCCTGGTGAATGATGACTGGATGTCAGCACGCTTAGCTGATGATTTTTGGTACTCTCGCTGGATGTGATACACACAGAACTCGCATGCAGACTTGTTGACAAAATACTTGCATTGTGATCCTTGTTTGGTTCTGCGGAGCAACACTTCATTATTTATCCTGCATTTAAGTATAGGTCGGTACTCCCTTTGAGGTGGAGTTTGATCATTTCATGTATCATTCACAGATCTTGCATACATTTAGACATTTCACATCATGGAACTTCATTTTAAAAAGCTATTTTATATATACTGTATACAGTATATATAAATTTTAATAAAGGGTATTCAGAGAATACCTTGTGGATTATCACTGAACACTTTAATCTTTTCCACTCCTACCACCCCTATTATTTTTTTTATTTTTATTTTTATTTTTTTTATTGCAATGCTACAGTTTACAGAGAACACACTATACTGTATAACAATATAACAATCCGGTTCGGAGACCTCATCCAGCTCCTTGAAGGTTGGGTGCGTACCCAGGATACAGCACACATTTCCCCTCTGAACTGCGACACTGAGGCGCTGGAACAGGACGTTGGTCACTCTTGAGTCTTTAGTTTTCCCAATGAGGTCGTCTCCCACCTCTTTTAAGAACTTAAATGTACATTTACCCCCTGGTACCCAGAGTCTCGGAGCGTATCGGCACGAACCTGTAACAACATTCTAGGTCTCAATACTTGTTGGTTTTCTGGGTCTTCCTGAAGGTGGCTGCCCCACCTTCTTCAACTGTGCTGTAAGGTAGATCGGTATCAGCCAATGTAGATGCACACGTGTAATCCCATCCAACCTGTTTACCTTCCCTCCATGGCTACAGGGTGACTCTATCTAGGCATTTTTAGTTGTTGTCAGGTCTGCACAACTGAGGTTCCCTTTGTGCTGGACACCCACCTGTAGCCAAACTTTTCTTGATGATATCATTGACTGCTTCATGTCTGGCAATCTTTCCCTGTGTCTTACTACAGATAAAACCATGGCTGCCGCATTGGTCCGCCCGTGCATAGCCACAAATGTTCGGTGGAGATAGGGGCAGCAAGGCGTAGGGCATGATATAAAACACAAAACTAAATTTGACTGTGTAGAGGTTTACACGTGTGCAAGGTTTGCTTAGATAAGCAGTCCTAGACTCCCAGCACGGATGTGATTCAAGTACTGTATTGAAATTGCAAATGAAACAACTAATTGGGATCTGCATAACAATCAGCTTCAGTGCAAAACATTACTGCCGAGCTGCAGTCTTATCAAGGCACTTTTGTATTATTCTTAGAAATATTCTCTGGCTACAAGGGAAATATCACAACAAATCTTACACACCTGCCTTTACACCATCCGAGATCCTTAGAGCCTCCCATCACCATTGATTTCTGTTGATCAAATATCGACAGTGTGAGCATATCTGTCGTCTTGTCGCCTTGCCTGAAATAAAACAAATAACACATTTGCATGACTTGTTCAGCTTTGAAGAACTATGGAGAAAATCTTTCAGTAACTTTATATTTTTCTACTACAGTTGATTGCCAATTACAGAATGTATCCTCAGTTTCTTTTGCTAGGCATATATAACAATACAAATAAAATCAGTGTTGAATGTAATGCCTCTTTCTGATGAGACTCTTCAGTCACTTCCCAATCTATCAGGGTGTATTCACCCAGAATATGAAATACTCTTAAACATTCTTATGACACAAATAATGAAAAATTGGAAATTTTGCTTACCCCCTTTCACACTCACTCTTTGAGGGTTAAATTATGATAAGAGGTGGGATTGGGGGGGGGGGGGTAAGGTATGGGTGGGCAGCATGCTGTGAAGGTTAGGAACAAGTGTAATTATCTAAGTGTTGTTAAAGAATGAGAGTTATGCTCGTGGTATCCCGTCTTCCCAGTACTCTCTTGTCACATGACACTTTGAAACTACAGTACTGACAATTTTGGCATCTACCACTTTCTTACTTACATTGCTCAAACTATCTACCACCCTGTTGGCAACAGTGAGCTTCCTAATATTTGGGGGGCACCTTTTTTTTTGTAGCTTAAATCTATGACCTCTTATGTGTAGTGGTTCCAAAATAAGCATGCCTCTGAATATATGAGTGGCCAATACTAGCTCACACCCACAGTAGGAAGCCATCAAAATTCAAGTATAGTAACTGCAAATCAATACAAAAGACCCCAAAACATACTCCAAAACTCGACATTCATATCAGATCTTAACATTCAGTGATTCTATTGCCCCAATACCTTAATTCCTCCCAGGGGCTCCCATCACACAAATCCCGAAACAAGATTACTCTGCTCTATATGTAGGCACAAAAGATAAACAAATGGACAGAATGCCTGACTTAAGATTATCGAGTTTGAGCATCCATTATGTGAACCGTATATAATACTCACCGATATGTAAGAGAAAGTGGCCCAACTGATGGAGGAAACAAGCTACCATTTAATACTGTACAATGCATATTATTTATGCCATTGATAAAAATGAATAATGCTTAAGTATACCATTAAATTTTTTTTCCAAAGAAAAAACTAAAATACTGTACATTTTATTTATATGACATTTCTCTGGATTAATCAAGAAACACAGTATTTATGAAGAAAATGAATCGGTGCAACATCATAATTACCAACAAATTTTAAGGACAATATTTTACCTGTCCTTCATAATTTGAGGATTAAGAAGACCGATGACAGTGCCCACAGCGCTCTTCCATAAGGCTTTGTGGGCTCCAGAGAAGAGGAAGAGCGCAATTGTTTTGGTGCAGTCACTCAAGTCACTTAACTTCCATATGGAGTACTGGGAACCCTAGGAATAACACAAATAAAGCACCATTATTCACCTATATAACTGGCCAAATAAAGATTGTCAAATCGACATTTATGCATGCTGTTTCTTGTATAAACACAATAAGGTTACATGTATAACACTGGAAAACCACATTTACAAGGAAATATGGTTACAGGGATTGTCCCACCGTCCACCCTCTATCTATTTGGTAAACTCGACTATTAATTTTTGGTTCGATGAGGCGAGGATGCACTTTTCTGGTTCGCCACTCCAAGCACCACCATCCTCACGTTTGTTTACATTGTCGGCATGGATATCAAACAGTTTTCTCCCACTCACAAGCCTTGATAGTATCATTGAAAATACTTAACATTCTGCCATGTCAGCTCAAAACACAGGAAATGTGTTAATGAAAGCCTCTAGTAGCAGCATATACAAGACGAAACATTAAGTGGTGAATTTTGAGACAAAATTTATTGAATGAAGAAAGTGAAGAATGGCATTCCTAATAGTTTTTTGTGCATTATTAAGCTTGCAAGATTTTTTTTTTTAATTCTGAAGACAAAACCTAAAATCTTTCTCACTATGATCAAAGTAAAAGTGAAACAGTAAAGCAGCAGAGAGAATCAGCCAGTGAGGTTAAAGTAAAACTGTTGATGAAGCAGTGAGGGTGTGGTACAAGAGGCAGCAGAACGGGGAGAAAAAAAAAACTGCCAGGATGGCTGCTCATGGAGAAGGCAAAGGATTTCCTTATGAATATTACCGAGCTGTGTTTGTAGTTATGAATAGTGGCCAAGATGCTCTAAGAGGTACTGTGCAAAGCAAGTAAACATATACAGGGAGAGGCTGTTAGCTGATGTAACTTCAGTATCTTAGTCTAAGTTCTCTGTTGAAGTCTAAACTTAAACAAAATCTTCCCTCTTTCTTGATCAACACCTCCATACTCCCTCACCTAGACATCATTTCAAAATCACGTGCTTTCTGTTTGTGAGAACATTTATACTATATATATTCTTTTGTTTTAATAAAAATATACTGTGATATATTTTCAGACATGAAACAAATATTTTGTGAGGGCGGGAAAGTAAGAAGCTGCATATGAATTTGTCACCCTGTTTGGTGGGTTTGGAACCCAAGGTGCCCAAACAGTGGAATGGTGTCTTTATGTACTGTACTTACTTTCTGTGATGTCTTTGGATCACTTTTTGACACTATAACTCCAATGGTGACCCAGTCTCCCTCAATATCTCCACCACGGAGATGTAAATTGATAGTAGACATACGAACCATCTTTCGCCCTTCCATTCTCTCACGCATCATCTCTCCCGACACTACAGGATTTCTGGAAATATGAATTAGACATGATGAAATAGCATCATAATCTCTGAATATGCATTTAACATTGATTTTAATTTCCACAGAGCAGACAATGAGTCACAATAACGTGGCTGAAGTATGTTGACCAGACCACACACTAGAAGGTGAAGGGACGACGACGTTTCGGTCCGTCCTGGACCATTCTCAAGTCAATTGTGAGAATGAAGACAATCGACTTCTGGTCAACAATTTCCACAGAGTTTATGATGCTGATGCCATGTTTTCACAATAAGGCAAACAACAAAGGTTTCCACACAACTACTGCATGCAGCATCATATTTTAGAATTATTGATTACAACTAATTTTGGAAAAGTAGACATAGTAACTGTAGTTTGTACCTCTGATTAGTACATATTGCAAAATATAGGCTCTCATTATTAATAATTTCTCAAATTTAAAACTCGTAGAATACAGTATTCAACTTTATCTAAAGGCACATAGCACTTCTTCAGTGTATAATCAACTAGCTATTTTCAAGATCAATAAACAAGTTTGCATAGCCTGTTCACTAATACAAATGTTAAAACATTAATAATTACCTAAGTGTAGTTACAGAATGAGAGCTACACTTGTGGTGTCCCATCCTCCCAGTACTCTTTGTCATATGACGCTTTAAAACTTGTGTCCCATATGAAGCTAAAGAAACGCATAAAGTTAGTTTCCGATGAGACACTAATGGAATACAATACATCTGCTATCAATTTTACCTCTCCTTGGTTACTTGTATGCTGTATGTAACTATTCTAACTTAACCATTATCAAGTCATCACAATCGACTTGATAATGGTCCAGGACGGACCGAAACGGCGTCGTCTCTCCATCCTTTGGTGTGTGGTTTGGTCATCATATCTTCAGCCATGTTATTGTGACACTTCATCTACACATGCTGCATGCAGTATTTCCTACTAACTTTTAATAGTTAACATTTTATACACCACTATTTTTTGTTCTGCTTACTTTTGTCTCCCCAAACTAATTTCCCAGTGATAGTACTGTACTTCAATTTTGACCTTAAGTTCAGCTGTGATTTGTTATTCAATGATATTAATAATTATTATTATAGCAATGTATCATTGCTGGTAAAGAAACCCAAAGTTGAGAGTAGACTCTTGTTGGAGGTAATATTTTGCATGTTATACTTACCTGGAGCATATCTGGAGAGGATTTCGGGAGGTCTTCTACTCCCCGAGCCCGGCCTGAGGCCAGGATCTACTCGCTTTACTAAGTACTGTATTATCATTACAAGATCATAAGAATAAAGGCAGCTGCAAAGGCTTATCAGCCTATATGAGGCAGCTCTTTTTTGTGTAAATGTACACAGCATGTACAAGACTTTGATGAATGTTCTTAATTCAGCTGTTGCATCTCTTATCAAGAACAGTATCAACATAATTATCTAAAATTAGGCCTAAACATACTCATAGCTTCCAGATAACCATTTTTCAGGCTTTTCCACTACTTGACAGCAAATCTTAAGAGAAGAGATATGAGCACATATGAATTAAACATGAAAATTACAGAGTACAGCATTGAATTTTTGTTTAAGATGGAAGTTACTGATGTTATCAATATTTCTTCTTTGCTGCACTAATACTGTACAGTATTTAGCAATGTTTTGTACCAATGAAATTTGGCAAAAGAAGAAAATTTAAATGCCAGTACAGCTGTAATTTGTTTTTCTGCTTAACCTATGCTTAACTTTAGAAAAATAACAAATTTACTTACACAATTCTAATTCCAGAATATTGATCTATAGTACAATTCTTATCACTTTCTGGTGAAGAGATACCAGCCCCTTTCAGAGATACCAAAGATCCACCGACTTCCTTCCAGCCGACATTCTGCTGAGATTTGACTTTAACTCTTGCCAAAACTTCTTCTTTGCGATCGCTACGTGCTTGACTTGGTTCATGTGAAATACGCTTTTTAATTTCACGTCCACAGCTATTATAGCGCTGTTCAAAGGGGTTTCGATTGTCTTCTTCATCTTCAGAATCGGTATCACCACTGTGCAGTTCACTCTTTCGTTTAAGGCTCTTGCGGAGTTTTGATTCTTCCTCAGTAGAGAGTGTTCTTACTGTACGTTTCGCTTCATGGTTAACATTAGTTAATTTAGTGAATTTTTTGCTTGTCGATTTATCTTGTAAATCAATTTTCTTTTTCTTAGTCAGTTGTTCCCGAAGAAGCCTCATGCGTTCTTCCATTTGCTGTAACTCTGCTTCTAGTGGGTCAACATCTTCACCATCAGCACTCTTCAAAGGGGTTTTATTTTCCATTCTCTTTGAAAAGCCTGAGAAAGCAGAACTAAATTTTGACTGAGCTGTGCTAGAGGATGCTTGCTGGTCTTCATCATCTGACAATTCAAGCCCTAAATCAGCCATGCTAACATTTGTGGCATCAGGCTTAGATTCCTCTACATCTTCCTCAAAGCCATCATCATTCAATAAGGCAGTGAGAGCATCAAGATCTTCTGACTCGGCTGTTGACTTCCCTGCTCCTGTTACTCCTTTCTCGTCGTCATCATCTTCGTCGAGTAAAGCAGCCAGTGTGTCCAAATCATATTCTGCAAGATTGTAAAATACTTTCAGTGGCACAAGATTCTTTCTGGTATAAAAAAAAATATTTAAAATATTTTATCAGAAAAATTACATCAGGAACTATGAAAAGTATAATTACAAGGAAAATACTGTTCCTATACAATACAGAACATGGGATATATAATAATAATTATACATCCATGTTCTGGGTTGTACAGGAATAGTATTTTCCTTGTAATAATACTTTCCATAGTTCCTGATATAATTTCATAATAATATGATAATGTACTGTGAACAAAAACATTCTGTATAAACTAAATGAATATCCTGAAGTGAGGTGTTGGTGACGAATGAATCTTCATTGCAACAGCTTCTACAAGTATAATAACTCGGCAACTCAAGTGTATAATCATTTTATTACAGAAAATGGTAAGATACAGACATTATATTTCATATTTGTACACAGTTTACTAAATACAGTACAGCATGTAGTATATACATTAGTGTATTGTAAAAGAAACAAATATGAAAATTGCAGTTCCTCATGGATATACCTATAGATCCCTGAAGGATTGTGCAATTTCTATGAAGGCTCACAGAAATAAGAAAGAACATCAGCAACAGATGTGGGTGTACAAAATGGTTATCCTTTCACAAAACCTACATTGCATGAAACAATTACAGTATCTGTATACAAGATGATTATCTATACAGTATGTGAAGCTTAATGTATGAAGTGCCTATGTAATACAGTATATGGAAAACTATCCTATGGTTGTCTCAAAACCATCAAGATAGGATCTGAATTAATTTACATCTCCAGACTGCATTAGTAATGTACCACACAGGGCTGCAGGAACGTTGATCATTGCAATCATCGACAGGTAATACAGGTAATCAGAATGGAGTTCCATGTTTTAACGTAGGAGAATTTCCTCATTCTGAATGATTTGGTCACTGTTATTTGGATACAAAAATCTTGTTTTCTGTTGAGGGATTGAAAAACAACAGTAGACATTCAGATACCCTACACTGCTAAACCTAATCCAACTTATTGAACTTTACCAAATCAAGTTAATTTATCATGGTGTTTAGTATATGGTGTGGTATTTATACACCTCAGTACTGGCATATGGCCCACAAAATGGGTCACCTCCTTAAGGGCAATGAGGATACACTATAGATAGAACTTGTAATGATTGTAGCATTCAGTGATGGATCTGGTGTATCATATATTATCAGAAAGCACAAAAACTTATTTTCATTTAAGGACATTACTCATGAGTGATATAATCATTTAATAAGAAAACCCAAATAATGCCATGTCACATCAAGGGTAGGGCTTATCCTCTAATTTCTTTCACACATATACATGTACATTTGACATCTTATGTCGAAACAGTCAAAGGGTCAAATTAAAAGAAGTACAGTAAAATTTTAAGAAACTGCAGGTCAGTCTAATTCAGTTAGCAGTCAGCTCACAACCGATTAGCACGTGTTTCAATTTCTCGGAAGGACAAGATTTTTGGGCATACAACATTTCCTTACATCTGCTGTCTCTTAATTTGGGTATTGTTAATTCTTAATTTGATTGGTTTTAATTCTTAATCTGATTTACAATTCTTCACCCTATACCGACCTTGTTGAAGACGGAGAAAGTTACTCAGACACAATAATAACGTTCCATAAGGCATATTACCTGGTTCAGCCCCTGCCATGGTGGAGAGTAGAATAATCCAGAGATGTGACGAGCAGCTAGAACTTGGAGATGCTGTTTGGGTACTGGTGATGGTTCAGGTGGTAGTGGTGGTACTGGTGATGTTTCAGGTGGTGGTACTGGTGATGTTTCAGGTGGTGGTACTGGTGATGTTTCAGGTGGTGGTACTGGTGATATTTCAGGTGGTGAAACTGGTGATGTTTCAGGTGGTGGTACTGGTGATGGTTCAGGTGGTGGTACTGGTGATGATTCAGGTGGTGGTACTAGTGATGGTTCAGGTGGTGGTACTGGTGATGTTACAGGTGGTGGTACTGGTGATGGTTCAGGTGGTAGTGGTTGTATGCCAGGTCGAAGAGGGTGTTAATGGGTGCTGTCGTATTTTGGCGGTGCTAATGGGACTTGGCGAGTCCTGGCGGTGCTAATGGGACTTGGCGAGTCCCAACGATGCTGGCGTCTTGTACTCCCTCTACTGTTTACATTTAACGCGGGAAATTTCCCATTTTCTCTCCATTTGAACGTCATAGAAGACGAGAAGACAGCATCGATGTCAAATCGTATGAAACACCTCTTTTAAAGTAAATATAAGTAACTTTCCTAAATCAATACCAAACAAGCTCATAAAAATCAATATTTTTCGAGCAATAAATAAATATATCTGATACTACCATTATTTTTAACCTTTCATTAAGCGTGATATATACCTGATATATATTGCTGGAACTGACCAATGTTTACATTCTGCCCACCAAAGGACATTTATCAGCACCTGCCATTTCAGTGTCGCATGTGATATCAGTGGGACCTCATCAAGTTCTTTATTATCTGTATGAGGACATGACGCTGGAGGATCCATTTTTTGTGGTCAAAGAGTAAGTGGAATCCATATATTTATTCCTGTGACGCAGGTGGTCGTGACCTAGGAGACGGGTTGGCATGATTTAAAGCCTCTTAGAGTGTGTTCAGGCAGTCGGCGTTGCTCTTGGCAAATGGTAGCGTCTGCTCGTGTATTTGTGGTCTATTTCTATTTGTTCTTAAATATGTGGTCTGTTACTATTTTGTTCATGTAATGTGGTCTTTCTTAGATTGAACCTGTATTTATATTATGTTAGCCTAGTGTAATTGTTCGGTACAGTATGGTACTTCAAAGTTGGTATAATTCACTTATATATATATATATATATATATATATATATATATATATATATATATATATATATATATATATATATATATATATATATATATATATATATATATATATATATATATAATATATATATATATATATATATATAAAATATAGAGTTCTTACATTCTTGTAAAGCCACTAGCATGCATAGCATTTCTCGAAAGTCTTTAATCTTAATTTTCCCCAAAATACGACTCGTCAAATCGTTTAACACCCAGGTAACTATTCACTGCTGGGTGAACAGAGGCTATAGTTAAGGATTCGTGCCCAGGCAGGAAAAACCCAGGCCAAATTGTTCGCAAAGCACGGGGCAAGTGTCTTACCACTGCGCCATGGAGACTGCCACATGTTTTGACATCTTACAGAAAAATTAAGGCAATTATTTTAAAAGTAAAATTACCTAATAGGGGTATAGACCTGTGGAACTGCCTACCCACTAAAGCCAAGCCAATACTGCAGTTCAAAATCCATTAGGAAAAAAATTATTCTCAGGAAAAATGAGGACACCTTAGACAAGCTGCTAGCTTCTTGTTCCTGCTGTGGCCACTAAATAGATAGTGGTCCTCAGATAAATTCAGGTAGGTGGAAGCTCAGTATCTGATGTCGATGTCCACCTGAGCACCATTCAAAGTTCTAATAATTATTAAAAAAAAGCAATGAAAATAAAAGCATAAGCACCTTAACTAAATGTATTCAAAATCTGCATTACATGCAAAATAGAACCTTTCCAATTTTGTGTGAAGTGTTTGCTTCAGTATATGCTTTAGCGATTGTAATGTGTACTGTACATGTACTGTAACCATAGGCCAAACCAAAGTACTGTACTGTATCTTTTTGGTATGCTGTTCTTTTTATTTTATTTTTAGGTCAATACTGTATATATTTTGTCGTTACATAGAACTTGAGCAACATTATTCCAAACTCAATAATTGCCAAAATGTCAAACAGCAGATACAGTATTAAAGTTGTCAGTTTGTGCCTTCATATGTAGTATATTGAACGTTCTTGTGTGCATACAGAAATCTGTCATAAATATATTTTCCATATTATATTTAACACTTAATAACCATCTTTGTTGATTGGTTTTGGGGATCAATGTCCTTACAGCTCAGTCTCTGGATAAGTTTTTGCCAGACCCTTATTAGAACTGTAAAAGAAAATTTATTCCTAAAATTTGATGTATGATAAAGGTTATACTGTATAATATGCATTATTTATAAGACTAATTGACTATTATTTGCATCTCGTAGTACAGTTAACTTCATTCTCGACTCACAATCGGGGCTCTTGGGTTCAATTCTAGCGCGGGACAGAAATGGTTGTGCATATTTCCTTTCATTTAATGCTTCTGTTCACTTAACTCATTTTATACATTATTATAGAGGAGTCTTGATGGAATAGAACAAGTTATTCAGGATCCTTTTCATTGCATCTCAACACTGCACTTATACGATGTTTGATGCCTTTCTTTTAATTAGTACAAATGATATAATGTGCTTTTGTATAATATATAAACAGTTTAGACAAATTATTGAAGGGCAACATTTACAAACTTCCTGATCATATAAAGAATTGGGCAGGAAATACATTTGAAAACAGACACAAGATCACTTGGATATATTTAGGCTTTCAAAATGGATGAAATATTGACATACAGGTATGTACTGTATAGTGATGCTGACAAATGTAATGTTTAGCCTAGATAAAAATAGCATACTGACCAGATACAGTATCAGCTAAACAATCCTGAAATTGCCAAATATCTATACCAAAATAGTATCTAAAATATCTATACCAAAATGATAGTTATAATTACTGTAGTAAAGATCTTCAGCCCAAAAATCGTTTATATTGATGTTTGAAGTAAGGTAAATAGAATAAAAGGATTTATATCTATTAGCATTAGCAATAAGACATCTAATGCTATTCTTCAGCTTTATTTTGTAATTGTTAGGTCTCATTTAAATGAGGCATTTCAGTTTTGGTCACCATACTGTAGAAATAACAATTTCACTTGAATATGTATAGAGGATGATGATGATCTCACAGTTAATCTTGGCTACTAAAAACTCATCTTATAAAGAGAGGTTAAGATAGCTTCATTTGGCATACTATAGAAGATAAAGTGTCAGGGGTAACATTATTTAAATACAGTATACAAATGAATAAAAGGTATAAAGAAGGGTATATGTATAAGGTTTTAAATATATCAACACAAAATGGAACACAACAAGGGGGTTACAAATTGGATAAGTTTAGAATCAGAAAAGATCTGGGTAAATATTTTGTTTTAAAAATATTTAATTTTAAATATCTTGATTTATGGAAAAGAATTGCCTGGTAATATAACAGAAATGGAATAGCTGGATTGTTTTAAGGGAAAGATGGAAATATTGTATTGTAATTCGTTTATGTTGGGGATAGGAAGCCTGTATTTATGTACTGTATACTTAAGGTTTGTACTGAAGTTCCCTCCAAGGCTGAACTACTGACCCTTCCCAGGATGCAACCCCACAACATTTGCCTAACTACCAGATACTTATTTACTGCTAGATGAACAGTGGCATTAGGTAAAAGGAAACATACCCAACCATTTGTCCCACCCAGGAATCGAACCCAGGATCCCTGATTGTGAATGAGTTTTGTTGGGTGCAAATAGAAGCAGCTTCAAATAAGCCAGTAGCCCTCTTGCAATTTCCTTTCTCTTATTTTATATAAGTGATACTAGATTGAACATCTGGGTTTTTCTCATGGAACCAAATTTCTGGTCATCCAGTGCTGCTGGACTGCGAGATATATTGCTCATTTATAAGTGAGTTTCACCAGAATAATAATACATATTATGGACTATATTATAACTCCATTCTTTCATACTATTATGCAACATTCCTAGAATAACAGACCTGGTTCCTGGATGTCTGGCCCCATTGGTGTCTGGTGATTAGTCCTCAGGGCTGTTGGAGACAAGTGCCAGGTTTATGAATGATTGGCAGCTCACTTTTCAAGAACCATTGAGCGATAAAAATCTCATAATATGGGTTAACTGTCCATCCAATGGGACTGGTCCATACAGTGAAGCCTTGTACCCTACAGGGTCAGTATTCCCTGTATCCTTAATGGATCAAGTGGTTGGGCACCATTTATTCACTATGTCTGTGTATCCCAGTTCTTTCGCTCATCCCTTCCATGTTTTTAATTTTTCACCAAATACGCTAATATAGAATTTTGATTGAACAAACCTCGATTCAGCAAATCTCCAGTTGGAACACACTTTCTATGCCAGATTTACACTCTTGATTCGACAAACAAGAGTTTTCCGAAGCAGGGAATGTGTGGATTTGCTTAGGATGTTGGACCGAGCTCATAGATGAGGCTACATTACAAGAAATAGTTGGGTTTTGGGAAAGCCACTGAGCATATTTAAAACCAAATTTTATGATTTTTTCGAATTGCTGAAGTTTTTGCTCATTAAAACATGAGCCTTTTTTCTTTGAAAATGAGATTAAAAGGCTTGTGCATGGGAAATATGTTAGATGTGGTTAAATCTTTCACAGAGAGGTTCTCTTGGATATTGCTGTTCATATAACAGGTTGAAATTATAATTTCGCTCAATTAAATCAGCCCATAGAGCGTGGGATATATTAGATGTGACTGGTAACACTCTTAATATGTCTCCAATCACTTTGTTAATGATTTACGTTTGTTATTTGGTATACATAAGCAGCCAGTGTTGATGCAAGTAACCCAAATCCATTATATCAGTGTCACAAGTCCCTCAATGGGTATTCTAGATAATCCATGTTAAAGTCCTTAACTCCTTAAGTGCGATCATCACAATCTATCCGATGTGAGCATGGTAAACCACCTAACGTGAACATCCTAATTCCTTATGTAAATTCCCTAATCCCTTATGTAAATATTCTAAGTCACTTAGCTACAGTGATGGTGTGTGTGTGTGTTTAGATTGTTGGTTGAGCGGGTGGGTAGGTGTTCGTGGAGGGGGGTAGTAGACTCGAGTACAGTACTTCCTTTCATCTCTTCCTACATGTTATCAATCCTGATGGTCAACAATTGGCTGTCTCTATCTAGAGGGCCAGGGGGAATTAAAACATGTGCGTGTGGACCTTTAGGGGGTTATAATTAGAGCTAATTATTCCCTTAGCATCTCCCCATTGGGTAGAAGATCTGTGTATCAGGTAGCTAACTCCCAATCCTGAAGTGGATGTGCGTTGCTATGTAGGTTTGGTCGGGTGGGGGAGTGTCTTATGCAGTGAGGTTTGGTGGGGTGGGGAGAGTCTTCAGCAGTGAG